GGGGGGGGGGGAAGAAATATTTTACTATGAATTTTCGAAGATATTGGAGTAGCCATTTGCAGATATATCTTTTTATTCTATGAGTCATGTTATGTGTGCTAAGACGTTATATATAACTGTCCATGGATTATAAATTTCATGTTGAGTTAAAGTTTGTTGAAAAAAAGTTGAGTATTATGTGATCGAGTATAACTTTTTATCATTTATCTTTTCATTTTTATTATTTTTGTTAATTCGTCTTTTAAATGTTATAATTTGAGGAACTGTTCCTTTTGTGTTTATCGTTCTTAATCAAACAAAGTCTATAATTCTATGTTTTAGAACCAAAACTATAAATGCACGATCATTCAGTGCGACGAATGCTGAACACATGCAACAGCTGAGACAGATGGGAATCCAAATGCAGTTTCAACCAGATGGGCATATTTATCTCAGTCATTCACCGGATTCAGTAAGTTTTTTCATTTTATTTTGTTTATGAAAAGTATTGGATAGTTTTTTTTTAATTTGATTCTTTCAACAACAAAAAAGTATGCTGCATCTTTATTTTTGATCGCAAGAGTCGTGGAGTTTAGCATACTTTAAATTAAGTGAAAATTGACTTCGCTTGGTAACAAGCTTAATTGATGTATATTTAGTTATGTGAGTATTGTATTTTGTTTCTTTTGTTTCTGCATGAAAATGTAATTTGGTCTTTAGTAATTTGATTGTTGCTTTATTATAAAGTATGATACAAGGAACACTTGGTGGTTATAGGTGAATAGTCCGCTTCGCTCTTTATTTTCGTATATTACATTTGTATAATTCAATAATTACTTTGATTGAAAAATAGTCAAAAAAAATGCCTAAAATGTTGTTTATTTTTAGTTACAAAAATAGGAGAAGTAAAAAAAGTAAGTTGATATTAGGCAAATGTTTTCAGGGCGAAGCGAACGCATTCACCACTGAAATAAACAAATTAGAAGCTGAGAGTGATGCATTGAATAATTTTTGTATCCTGGATGATGGTGACACAACAGCAGGGAAAAATTCAAAGAATGTGTATATTCTACATCAATCTCATGCTGCTCTTACTCAATTTTTGTCATTAATTATGCTTGTCGTGTTATTGTGGTTAACTTTTGTAATTACGGCTGCAGTTTTTGTTTGTATTATTGCATGTGGTTATCGTTTGCTGCTTGTTAAACGACCACTATCTGATCAGAACAGTAATCCGCAGTGTGTAGAAAAAGTGGATAATCGTGATGATTGCGACAGTCTCAGTAATTCCACTGATGATAGTCATATCGATGATAATAGTATTGATGGTGATGGATGATGACGATTATAAGTAATTTAAATTGTCATGATTGGAGATTAATTGAATTTCCATCTTTATTATCATTTATTAAATTAAAATATGGCAATATTTAGTTTACTGTAATGATTAACTGAGTTTTATTGAGTACTTTTTCAATGTTTGGGAAAAAGTAGTATATGAGCGGATTAACGTTATGTTAATATTTTAACTATTTTGATTAGAGAGTTCACTAGACTTAAGTTCAAAACGATTGTTGTAGTTGAAGAGCTACTGCAAATTGTATTAGCAACTGAGCTTTGTTAATATTTAATCATGCAAATTTAAATTACTTGTAGTACTTTTAAAATATTGTATATTAACGCGAGCATATATTTATATCAATTTTCTTTTTTCTAGAATTTTAGCAGAAGTGTATTTATCTTGAATATAATTCTTTTACGTTTTAAAAACTTGTATATTTTCTTGAAAAATTTGAAAGCGAATAATGATTTGGTGGTTTTTTTAATCATTAATTTTTGAAAGAAATTTGAAAGTTGCTAATTAATAAATATTTATTAAATACTCTAAAACGTCGAATTTTCTTGCATTTTTTCTAGTTTTCTTTCGATAACAGTTTTGAGATATTCTAATTCATCTATATCTATTAGTGCCTATGTACCATTTATTGGACTCACATATCATTTCAAGTTGTCTGAAATATTCTATCCTCTTGTGGTGCCTTAATTTTTCAAATTATATTAATCAAATTAGAGTCTTTAATTTTCTATACATATTAATAAAAACTCCATATTTTGTCGACTCTGAAAAAAGCAACCTGCATGATCTTATCATTTTCTTCAAATTACTTCTTTTTACCAATGCTTTTCCAATTTTTTGTTCTCAAATATTTTGAATTTTTTATATAGTTTTAGCGTATTTTTAGAGACTTCTCGTGCTAAGCAAACAATTTATTGATTCAGTTTTTTACAAAAAGTTATTAGTGAGATTACTTACAGGCAATTTCTCCAGAATGGGCTATTCTTGGGAGTGAATTCATCCAAGAAATGATTGCAATAACAAATTCAGGAAAACTTGGTTTGTTTCGATTTGGAACATGGGTTCCATGTTGCACTGTAATGCATTGGGTTGTTTCTATACTCTAGCAGAAGTTAGAAATACCATAAGAGTTCGTTTTTTCGTAAGATTAAGATGTTCAAAGACATTAACTGAAAGCAAGTAACAGTTGGTAAAATTTTCATGATAAAGAATCTCTTGATAACAAGCATCTGAACAAAAGCCATTCATGTTCAGATCTCGATTACTTGTTTTGAATAAAATTTAGAAGTTAGAAATTGTCAGTGTCTTCATTCTTATTAAGGTGTTAACTGATTGCCTTAGTTTTTTTCTTTTTCTAGGATTCAGTGGTGAACAAATTGTGCAAATAATATCACAGCCTATATTTGGTACTCTTCATTGGCGAGCTGCCCCGGCTCACTTTGGTGATGATCTTAAACGCAAGCCAGTAATTCTTTTTTATTTTAAGATATTATCAGTGAGCAAATCAAGTTCAAAAATTAATTTAATTTGTAGTACATACCACCCTAAAGCAAACCATATCAATTTATTTGAACTACTAATGTAGCCACTAGTCTTTTATTATGTACATTATGTTGAGCAAAAGATAATATGCTTATTTTGATCATAGCTTTATTATACATTCATCAATTTATTTATTGTATTTGTATTTAATGTTCCTCATACCATACATTTTACGTTGTTCATTGTATTTTTTGAGGTTATTGCGGGAGTACAAATTGCAGTACCTTTCCGGGCCTGTGCACCTTTAACAAATGCACCAACGATGAAAGGTCGTATTGCCGTTGTTCAACGACATGACTGCATGTTTCAAGAAAAAGCACGTTACGCCCAACAAAGCGGTGCTGTTGGAATTATCATCATTGGTAAGTTGTTTTTTTAATAAATGATTTTGTTTTATTTCTTGGTCCTGACATTTAGTTATTAAATAGAAAAGCGTTAGATGAATTTTAATATCAAAAGTTTTTGCTGTAATCATCACGGCCAGAAATTTTCTTTTTTTGATTTGAATATTCTACAAAACTTTTTGATAAACATTGCTAATTACTGTAATGAAGATTATTGGTTTTCGCAGATATGATTACAAAGCGTGATTTATTTCAATAAATTTTATTTTGTGTGAGAACATTACATTGTAGACAATACTCTCGGCTCAAGTATTGATGAATTTCCACCATTTGCAATGTCCGGTGATCAGAGCATGGAGGATGACATTTTTATACCTGCTGTTTTCTTGCATAACAAAGAGGGTCTTGTTTTTATGGAACAAATAATGCGATATCCCAATTCCCTTATTCGTTTGTCTAATCGACTTTCAAATCCATTTTACTTGTTTGAAGACTTTGTACTTCATGGTGCTATGAGATATACGTTAGATAATTTGGAAAAGAATTTAGAGGTAAGCTTATTTCAATTAAGTTTTTCGTGGTTTGAAGCCACAAATATATTTTTAATATCAGATTTTTGGTGAATTTTTATGGTTGTCAATAAAAAGGAAATTTTTTTTAGCAGATTGATCAGTCAAACGCTGTAATTGTGATCGACAGTTCTTTACCCGCTGTAGTTCTTAATTTTCGATTCTCTGAAGTCAGTATAGAGAGTGATATCAAGCAGAGGCAAAAAGTAATTATTTAAAATATTGTTATTTTGTTAACTTTTTGGTATTCAAGATGACTAAAAAGCTTCATTTGAACTCAGCTGAAGTATGTTTCAGTGTTTTGCCTAAAATCTCTTAAATTTAGTTTGAACTATTCAATTTACTATTCTTTGCACAGGAGTGAAATTTGTCAAGAGTAGAACAATGAAACAGTATAAATAGTGTCTGCCAAAAAGTTGCATAAAAAGTAATAATTCTCAAGAATTGCATAAGTTGAAAAATCGGTTTTAAGGTAGTGGAGAAAAACATTGAAGAAATGCAGAAGTTGTATAGCTTTGCAGCAGAATTTGATACGTTTCAATTTTACAATGTTATACGGCAAATAAGTTATTGGCAACTTGGCTTAAACTTGAAACCAACCGAAGCTGAATTTAACAGATTTTTCGTGCTATTACGAACAGTAGTGAGAAAACAGCAAATCATGGAAGAACCTACCAGTTTATCAGGAACCATTACTACTGTTAGCTGTCGATTCTGGGACGAGCACTTTGACTGTCAACGAATTAGATGATATAATTATCAAAAATTAAAATGATTTGTAAATGTAATCGTATTTTTTAAATTTAGCTTAAGCCGTAATATATTTTAATGCTTGCAGATATTGCCGGGTTACTTTCTGCAAGTTATTCAAAATAACCTGCAAATAACAGCATCGGTGGTAAAGTACTGATTAAAAATTTTTTGTAATGCAGGGAAGCAATGAAATTTTGATTGCTATGACTAGATTTAAGATATGTGGCAACATTAGCAACAAATTAAGGTAGTCGTATTATTAAGTGATTTGATTTGGAATGATATATAAATTTTATTCTACTTGTTCTAAACTGTGTATACTTCTGTTTTTGTTGTCACTACTTTCTGTGTGAATAAAATTATGGGTAGCATCGGGTAATGCTTTCTTGTCTAGTTAGTTCTCTACTCTTTGTAGTCAGTAACAGCATCGTTGATTAACTAAATGAGTTAGTCCTTGCTAATTTGGTTATTTTCAAGTGTAATATCTTGTTTATTTCTCATTTGTGAGATTTTTTGTAAGCACGGGTAAACGTGAAGAATTGATTGCTAGAAAACATATGGTTCAGTTTGAATACACTCGAAATAATTGTATTTAATAATTGACAATGACAGCAAGCGGCATATTAAGATTATTGTGGTAAGTTTTGAATTTAGCAGGCGGCACACTCATCCTTTCTGAAATTAGGAATAAGTTTATAGTATTTTTTTTAATGATTCTACGAGTCAGACTGAACCGTTCACTTAATGATATTGAGTTAAGAAGGTTAATTTGTAGTTAATTGGTAGTTGTAGAAGTGAACGGAGGAAAAAAGTATTAAAAAAGTGGACGTGTGTTTATGTAGGTCAAGGATCAATTTAGTGCATGTATTAGCAGTAATAAATCAATATTATCAGGGAGAGGAGCATATATTTCGTGCTGCATTAACTCTTGATCTTACTACATATTTATATTTTGCTGAAATAGTTTAGTAAATATTGTGTTCCATTTCAGTAGTAATGGTTGATGCTGAAATTATCGCAGAAATCGATGAAGGGTACCAGAAATTACAGGTTTTTTCAATATTCTACTATTTATTTTTATTATCTTTATTAATTGTAAATCAAGTTAATAATTTGTTAACATCGTAGGACTGACATTTGCTGCAAGTTTTTATTAAGTGTGATGGAATTACATGATATTATGACTCTCATACTCAGGTTGTATTTTCTGAGTCAAAGTTATCAGTTTGATCTTTATTATTGTAGTTTAATTAGGTCTGCATTACGAAGTTATGTAAATACCTTCTAACCATCTTGATATTTTACTTGAACGAATGTTGTAGTTTAATTAGGTCTGCATTACGAAGTTATGTAAATACCTTCTAACTATCTTGACAATTTTACTTGAACGGATGTGTTGGTGTTTGCATAATGCTATACGTTTGTTCAACGTGTACTGTTTAATGAGACAACAAATTTTAATACTTTAAGGCATAAAACGTATTTTCAAATTTTCAGTTTCAATTGAAATTACGTTGCGTGCTTTAAAATAACACACGCAGCGTACTTTCAATTTTAATTTTCAGGTAATCAAGACTCGCTTTTTTTTTTTTGAGCAATGCTATAATAATTTCAGGAAGCCAGCGATTGTCATTCTTTACTTAAAAAGCATCTAACTAAAACAGTTGTTGATGAACTGAAGAAAAAAAAGACAAAACTTGGCGCAACTCTTTTAGATGTGATACAGTCAGGTATTCTTTACTTTTTCTTTTCATTCTTTACTCTTTACTTTGTCATAATTGAATAATTTACCTTCTGTCATTTATTATCTTCTTTCATATATATGTATAGAAAAACGGGATTATGATTAATTAAGTGTTAAAATATCTTCAATCGAAGTTCAGTATTATTTATTTCTATCTTACGTAGCCTCTTAATTTTCTACTTTATTGCATAATGTACTCATTTTCAAGTTTTTAGATTTAACTTACAAAATTGCTCATTTTTTTTAATATACTAATAATACAAATTGATCATTTTAAGGCATGGAACGTAGTTTGATTTAAAGTATTTCAAATTATTACTCTCATACAGGTGTTAAAAATATTGATTCTGGCGTTGGTGTTTACGCACCAGATGCTGAAGCATATACTGTTTTTAAATCTCTATTTGATCCAATTATCGAAGAATATCATAATGGTTTTGGGTCGAAGCAGAAGCAACCTGATACTGATCTTGGCGAAGGCATCTATTATTTGTTGTAATTCAAAAAATAGTTCTGTATAATTTTGGCATTATTTACTAATTATTAATTTGGAGAAAAGAGAGGAAAAAGAATATGAAGAGCAGGGTTTCAGACAAAATATGTTTGCTTACTGATCTTGATCCAGAAGGAAAATACATAAATTCTACTAGAATACGTTGCGGACGCTCACTTCAAGGTTATCCATTCAATCCCTGTCTCACTGAGGAAAATTACAAAGAAATGGAAAACAAGGTAATTTTGGTCTCTGTCGTAATGTGAAGTACTTATGTTTGAAAGTTTATTTGCAGGTAAAAGAAGTGCTTTGCGGAATTACGGATCCAGAACTGAAAGGGAAGTACTACCCTCTTTCTGGAATGACCAAGGATGTTCAGAAACAACTAATTGAGGACCACTTCTTATTTAAAGAAGGTGACAGGTTTGTACATTTCATATTAAAAACTGCAGTTCCATAAGTCATATATGCTTAGAGTACGTTTACATTATCTGTTCGTTTTACATCTATCAAAGAATCATGAAGACCTTCAGATCATTTTTCCATTGTTTCCACGTAGTGAGCATTCCAATAATTATGCATACCAATAAGATTCACTTTTCAGATTTTTGCAAGCTGCAAACGCTTGCCGATTTTGGCCAACTGGACGAGGTATCTTCCACAATAATAATAAAACTTTTCTAATATGGGTGAATGAAGAGGATCATTTTCGAATAATATCTATGCAAAACGGTGGCAACGTTGGACAGGTGAATCATTTTATGCAAATTTCGCGCACATCTCCATAAAGTAACTTGGAGATGTAACAGAAATATAGTTGCATAGTTTGGTAATTATATATATATGATTAGCTAATTGAAGGTACTAGAAAGGCTAATCAAGGGTTTGAAAACGATTGAGAAAAGCCTGCCATTTTCAAGAGATGAGCGTCTTGGCTGGCTCACGTTCTGCCCTACGAATCTTGGCACTACCGTGCGAGCGTCAGTTCACATACGCCTACCAAAGATTAGTGCAAAACCAGATTTTAAAAAAATATGCGAAGATTTGAAACTCCAGGTATTTGTTGTTATTTTGTGATCTGTTGAATTTGTTTTATTGTTTTTATTCCAAATATTCTAAAACGTTGTCTCCTTACTTTGTTCGACTACATTCTATAACGTGTGGTTACAAATGCCTCCGTTCTTGCTCAAAGACCGACATTTCTTACTGTTTGATAACTACTTGTATACGCGTCTGATATTTTGATCGCTTTCTGTAAATTAATGAGTTGAAAACGCCTTTATCACAGTATACACCTGTGTTATTGTATCGACATTCAAAATTTTTTGCGAAACCTATTTAGTTCATTTTCAGATACGCGGCATTCACGGGGAACATTCCGATTCCGTTGGTGGTGTTTATGATATTTCCAATAAAGCTCGACTTGGTTTAACGGAATTTGAAGCGGTTAAGCAGATGTATGACGGTGTGAAACAGCTCATTGAGATGGAGAAGAAAGCTTAAAAATGCCTTTTTAATGCTTAGTTGAATTCAGTATTTTTTTCATACAGCTTGATAGTCTAACAAAAACACATATATGCACAATTTAAAAAACAATACATAAAACGATTATAATAACAAAATTTCTCTGAATGTTTAATCTTCCGGACATTTAAAAAGTTGTGTTTTTCCTCCATACAAAAAATTTCATGCAAAAGAATGTTCAGGAAATATTGTATTCTTTATAGGGTTTATTACATCCTTATTTGTCCTCGTAACTCGATCAATCTTGTTTTGATTTATATAAATCCAGGGCCGTACTGAAAGTTGCCTTTAAAATATAAAGCCATTTCTCTTAATTTACAAAGAATAACAAAAGGATAAAGCTATTTATTGCTAAGGCACAATTCTTATTTCTACTTCACGTAAATCGCTTCATTTACCTGTTTCCTAATCCATATAAAAGGCTAACCATGAAGCGCAAGATTTTAACAGCATTGTTCATTATTATATTAAATCCTCACATAAATGAATGTGTGTAACTAAACATACAAAAATTGGTTAGCACACTTCTCGACTTATTTTTTATTTTAAATTCAACTTTGTCATAAATATAAAGATAAGAGTACCAGCTGTTCCGCATGGTATGCCATCCTTTCCATCACATATACGTCCTCCCCAATCATAATGACCGAGTTTTTCGTTACACAAGCAAAAAATCTAAAAAATTTTGATAAAATTACAAGCAGGAAGTCAAAATAATTTTAAGTAATTATCCTTGCAGAGTTTTATATTTATACTACGCTTTTGATTTCAATTCCACTTCTCTTGAAAACTTAAGATTTCGCGTTTCACATCCAATTAATGAATGGTTATGAAGTTAAATTATTTAATTATGATAAAGTAAAGAATATTTACCTTTCCCCGGTACGCTTCTAACGTCATCCATTTCATAGGCAATACATGATAGATGAAGCTGCAGTATTCTACTATTGCCACTTCGTCACCAGAAACTGTACCAGATTTTGATATTTCATGCCTAACAATGTGGTCATCGTAGAAAATCGTTTGCCTGCACTTGCGACATCTATACTTTACTGAATCTAGTGAATTTGAATCTTTGCTAACATCAAACATGAGAGAAGATTTTGAATTTTTTACCACTGAAAATATTTAGTTCATTCCCAATGGAAAAATAATTTTATAATCGTGTATGGAAAAGTAATACTAGATCTCTGAAAAATTTGTATTTTTTTAAAAAAATAACTTCAATAATAAAGTCCAGCTATACAAAAAAACTTCAAACAAGCAAGTGATAATCAGAAATTTTAAAAGGTGTCTTTTAATTAGAAATAAAGAGACAGCTTTTCAACTTTGATTGAGATTTAGTACTCAAGTAAGAGTACTAAGTCTCAATCACAGAAGTGATATGTGAATGACTTCGAAACCACAAAATCAAAAACCTTACGTAAATGTTTCACAGTTTATGCAAAATTCTAATAGTTTTTTTTCTTTAAATATAATAAAATAATATGTTAATTCTTACCAGTTGATGAAGAGAGAGTCAATAACCACTTTTTGTATACAGGTCTTCGTGAAATTATTTCAATATCAGCCACAAAATCAGAACATTCAAATATTTCCAGTTGTTTTATGAAGCCGTCGTTTGGTCTGATGAAAAGCAAATAATTTAAGAACAATCTTTTATTAGAAGATGATAAAATCAAAAAAGAAGCACAATATACAACTAAGAAGAATTTTTAGTAACCATGAACATTATTCATTATTAGAAAACCATTTGCTCATTAAATTCAATAAACACAATGCAAAGCTGGAAAATACTTGAAAATATGACTCACTGTGCTATTGGCCGTATTTTCTGAACATATTCGACAGCCCTTTTTGCTGACCACTGATACTTTTGCATCAAATATGCAGCAATGACAAACACTGAACGTGATACGCCCGCTTCACTGAATCTTACAACTATGATTCACATATCCATGATCAGCTACTAAATAATTACTAAACAAAATATTTCAAAGATTTTTTATACTCAGTAATTCCAACATTAGATCCACAATTCTATTTTCAGAAGTTGTTATTTTTTATACATAAAATATTGTTAAAGTCAAATAATCAGTAAGATGAAGTGAAAACTAAAATAATGGATTGAAAAAATGAAGAACAGTAGCATTCTATGAATTCTTAGGTCAATTTACTAGGAAAATATGAGATAAAGTAAAGAAAATGATTACTCCAGCAGCAAAAATTGCTTTAACGAATTAAATTCTACCTTTTAATTAATTATTGTTTATAAATTAATTGACATCAGAAGTGTCTCCACAAAATGTAATTTAGTCTTACTTTAATAGTTTAACAAAATATTCAGAGATGATTTAAACTTAATTAGTACAAATTTCAACAACTACAATAAAGGTAATGAAAAAAGTAGCCAACGACATCTATAAAATTAAGTAGTACCAATGTTTAAAACTCGTACCAGTGTACAAGGACACGTCCATCATCGTTCTTAGTATTTGTATGAATATATGAAATTGCTCTAGCTGAAAAATTTAGAAACTAAGGTTATTAGGCGCATACAGAAAAGAGTAAAAATTATGCAATTTTTAGAACTGTTCTGTTTTGATGAATAAAAAAGAATATATTTAAAAAAGGCGAAAATATATTTGATACAAAACATAAACATCCATAAATCTAAAAATATTATATAAAAGTAATTTCAAAAATGTAAAAGATCATATAAATCAGTCAAAAAAATGAAGTAAAAAAATCACATATATCGCACTAATATTAATATTAGACACAAAAATATGTCACATCACTCAATGTTTTTCAAAACCAATAACAACCATAGGTTTTTTTTACTTCATTCCTTAAGTTTTTTTGTAAAATAAATTAAACGATATGAGTAAAGTTGGTTATTTTTTAAAATTATTGCAAAATAATGAATACCTAATAAATTTTCAGCGAACATATCTTGCACATTTGTATCTAATGCAAACAGAAATAAATAACAAATGCCATCAATACGCCTTTCTATCGGAATCTCTTCAGACGATATTGTTAGAATATGACTGATCTAAAAGTATCTCAAATCCAAAAATATGTAAAAATCGAAGAAATTTAAACTGAACACTAGAGTATTGCACAAAAAATGACAAAAATTTTAATAATTTAAAAAATGGCTTAAGCTTGATAAAAAATTAAGAATATTAATCCTTCGATCCCATGACAATTCTGGCATGCAATATATATAAAAACTTACTTTTTCATTTCCGGGTCTATAAAATGTAAAAAAAGACAAAAGCTCACCTTCATTTCATTTTTTAGCCTTTCAATTCTATACTTATCCATAACATCTTGCACATCACCCAAATATAAATTCTCGATCACTTTACAAATCATTTCCTTCGTATTTCTACAAATGATTTTTAAGAAAAGTATTTAGTTCAAAGTTCAAAGTTCGATACCAAACAGCCCATAATAATCAAAACAAAACAGAAAATACATTCAAAAAAGTGTTTTTAAAGAAAATAAATAAAAATACTGTTGTCAATTAATTAGATTATAGTCCTTACAATCAATTTACAAAACCAATATACGATGCATGAAGGAAGAATATATAATAGAAGCATTCAAAAAGTGTTTTAAAAAAATTAATCGCGTCTAAGCAGTCTTCTAGAACACTTTTCATATTAATACCTCGTGCTTTCCACAAGTCAGTTCAAAAGCATTTCATATCAACCTTGACCTTTTGCAGTAATATCTCTTGAATTCCCTCAATCCAGGCACCTTTCGCTGACTTTATATCAATTTGATTGGGGTTATATGAAAATTCTAATCCTACTCTGCACAAGTATCAGGTGTATTCGTTTGTTTGAAAATAAGAAAACGGCTGCTTGCTTCAGAAGGATAAGGAAAGTAAAGTAATGGCAAATATTAAATATAAATTTCGGTAGTCTGAAAGTAAAGTAAGGTCAAGCATCGAATATTGATTTGTTTCAGTTCAATTTTAAACTCTACTTTAATAGAATATTTTCAGATCACTTATAAATACATCCACTGAGAATTCATTGTGATTATAAGATTAATTTGTTATTAAAAATCATTTGTAACCTTTTACGCTATTTTTAAATGCATTATTAATTCTTTTAGATTAACCACTGAATTATTCTTCAGAATTAGTCATATATTGTTTTATAAGTGTTTGTCTTTGAAATTCACTATTTTCTTAATTAATTAGTTCGTACAATAATTTTAAAAAATTAATTGCTTTGAAAAGAACTAAGATAAGAGAGGTTAGAAGCGTTATCATCGGCTTAATTCCACAGTATTCCTCCTGCTAATATTGACACTAGTTTCACTCAAAAAAAAATCATTTTGTAAAAACTATATTCAAATCAATCAATAAAGATCAATTTTGAATGATATTGCTGATTTCAAGTCCTGATTACAGATCGCAGATAAATGACGATTTTTATAAATCGTCATCAAGAAACTGGCAAAAGTTCACGTATTAGTATAATTAGTAAAATATTTAATACATTTTTTCATAACTGAGATAGCTTGTATCTACTGATAAAGTAAGAATATGAATAGTTTTGTTCGAGCATTATTTAATGTGAATTTTGCAATACGCAAATATTTTTAGATAAATTGATAGCAATTTTTATTACGCACGTAAAATGACGGAAATTAAGTCAAATGAAGCTAAATTGTTAATAAATGATAGGAATATTTGTAGAGGATAAAAATTGCTTTCAATTACTGTTATCAAGCAGTACAAAATGTGTTAAATACATATCGTGAACTCTATTTACCAAACGTATATCTGACCTACGCAATAATTTTTTTCAATAATAATTTGCATAAGCAAAACAAATGATGCGAAAAGTTTTGGCGTAAATTGGTGTCAGCTATTCACAGTGTATTTTAGATAGATGCATATTCTTTTCCTTATTCTTCTGCAAACTAAACATTTCACTGAATTGTCGAAAGTTTGATTGTTGTTGTTGTTTTTTCTTTTTTTTTTTTTGATATTACACAAATTTTTTGCATTGTGTCGTTATCACATTTTAAAATAACCTATGCTTTTCCCAGCAAATAACCTATTTTTTGTGATCCTGAAAAAATTCCTTATAAAAGCTGTAGTTGTATTCATTTCCCGCAATTCTATCCTACTACGTCTTCCATTTTACCGCATAAATTTCGACTTACAGTCGTTTAATCCGCGAAAGCAAAGCTTATGGAATCTACTACCATGAACGTTTTTTTACTAATACTCTTCACTTTTTACTCGAGTACATTTTCTTCAGGTCAGCTTTTTTCCTACCATAAATAGCTCATTTTTTTAAATAGTAACTTATTCTTTACTTTTATGCAAGCTTGTCTAAAAATTATGCTTTATTTACTTAAGAAGTGAGTAAAAGCTGAAATAAACATAATAAAGCATAATTTTAGTAATTGTAAGCTTTACTCTTATGTAAATTTTCATAACGATCTCAATTGTTTTTTCACTAATTTTGTCATTTTTAAAGTAAATACAAATTAATCACTGGCATTTTCGCAGTTTACCACTAATTTGTCTGTCATTTTCAACGCTCAAATCAAAATAATCAGTACTATTTGATCAAATCAATCATTGCTCTTAGAACAAAGCCAAATTAATGATATTGTAAATAATTTCTGTGATTTTTACTCGAATTATTTTTATAAAAAAATTAGATATTAAATTTCTTTGGTTATTTTTCTGTAATAGTGAATAATTTAAGTGATTGTATTTGTGTAAAAGTATTAATCAGACAAAAACAGCCTCTATATAAAATTATTAATTTATGTAGAGTGATATTTGAATACTTTAATTTTTGTGGAGTAATATTTACATAATTTAATTTTTGTAGAGTGATGTTTGAATAATTTAGTTTTCGTAGAGTGATACTTTAATAACCTGAAAATGCTGAAAAGTCTGAAAATTTATGTTATGCTTTCACAATTAAAACATAACTATGCAATTAATTTTTTGGTGTTAAAAATCCTATCAGTCAAGTTTTTATCAGTTTCTAACTACATAATTTATCTTTTACAGATGACTTGTCAAAAATAAATATATCGTCTACAATTGTTCCACTTTCGAATGTACAAACAATTTCATCGTTAAATTCCACAGGAATAGAAAAAATATTGAAAAACGAATTAAATGCCAATGAAATATTGGCAAATCAAACAGTTCATGAAAGTATTCCACGTATCAATGTGTCTTCTGATTTTTCAAACAAGATTGAGAAGCAAAATCAGTCAATAAATGAAATTCCAACAGAAGGCAGTAATTTCAGTGGAAATTTTGAATCTGAATATGACAATAGTTCAATCTCAGAATGGACAACAACAAATCCAACTGACCAAAAGTCACAGCATACTACAACACTTGCCAATAATGGTAGCAGTACTTCTATTGATTCAACAGAATCGAAAGTTACCAGTGATGACATCATCAACATAACTTCGACAGCATTAACTTCAGAAGTCCTATTAACTTCTTCACAAACTGAAGGACTACTTCCAAAAGCCTTGTTAGGAGTGATGTCAACAGAACCGAATAATGATGCATCTTTAAATGTAACATTGGATGAAACAAAGCAGGCAAGAAATAAAATGGATCAATTTGATGAAGTAGAATCTATCGCGAAAAGAATGATTTCTGTGATCGATTCACATTTGATTAACAGTACTCAAGAAGAATCTTTACTTCTCATGACTGCATCTGTTGAATCTGAATTTTGGAAGCATCTAAAGACAATTCATGAAGCATCTCGGAAATTACTCAAATATCTCAAAAAGATAGTGCCAAGTAGCGAAAATGATACTGAAGTCTTAAATGAACCTGAAATATTACATTCTGAAGTCGACAAAAGTATGATTTGTTTTCTGGCTGGAATTATTATTAACTAATTGTCATTGTTTTCTTGGTATAGAAATTAAAAAGTCCAAACCAAATGTTCTATTTGTATTCATTATAAAATTAAAACTATAAAGTTTAATAATAATACATTGTACCTTTCAAAAATATATTTTAGAGTCTTGCCCTGAGCAATGGACGTATTTTGCTTCCACAAATTCTTGTTATTTGATGGTTAGTTATTCGAATAATACTATTTTTTCTTAAATTTACTCAATATACTGATAAATTTATCACAATGATATTACAAACATAACATTTAAGAAAATATTATTTTTATTGAAAATAAGTGATAGCTTAGAGGATCAAATTTTTGTAGTCAAACTTTTAATATTTTAGGTGCAAAATTTAAGTAATTATTATGATGCTTCTCAGAAATGTTCTGTAGAAAATGCGCATCTTACGTCTATTGCTGATTCTGCTGAACTGTCATTTGTTAGTGGTATGTTTGCATCACTTTTAACTTTTCATGTCAAAAATAGGCGGGATATTTTTTAAATAATTGTAGCTCTTAATTAGAACTTATAGTTTACGCGAAGACTCGGTTATAGTTAGACTTAAAACAATACTGTTATTATTATTATTATTATTTGCTCTGTTTGTCACTAGTTGCTATAAGTATAGTAATGTTATTTGCTGTTATTTTTGCCGAAAACATTATTATTTTACTGCATTCATAATCATATTAAAATATTATAATTAGAAACGGTACTCACTTCAAATACTAAAAAACTGTGTAAAAATTTAATTGCAAAAATAAAATAAATATTTCAAATAATTATTTTTAGATTTAACAAAACACGAGCGTTATTTAATCGGTTTGTATCGAAGTGGTAGTCAGTGGAGCTGGTCTGATAACACGGAACTGAATTACACGAATTGGCGCAAAGGTGAACCAAATGGTTGTTGCGGAACTGATGTGAAGTGTGCTTTAGTAAACTTTAATCAATTAAGTAATGGTCACTGGGATGATGTTGACTGTAACACTGTACGTAGTACGAAATTTGTATGTAAAAAAAAATTGTAATTCATTGAAATAACATTTTACTCACATATGAATTAAGCGAAAATTCATTAAATGTTTTAAATGAATTATTGTTTTCATATATCTTGCCAGGACTGAAATAATCTAATTCATTTTTGTATATTTCAATTTTTGTAGATAAAATAAATAATATTTTTAATGTTTTCAAGTTTCACTGCTACATTATATTTAATTTCAAATAACAAAAAACTTTTTATTTGATTGGAATCAATTTGAATTTAAAAGCGAGTATTATTCTTTTGAATTAATATTTAAACTCTAGAAATTGTAGAATCAAAATGAGCTCACTGAATTAGCAAGAAATTTAATTGAGGCTAAAATTAATAGCTTCAAATAAAATACTTGCTTACTTTATGCAGTATTTTAGTTTTGTTATATTTTATGATACCTAATTTTATAATAATTTGCGTGATATTTTAATTTAGTAAAAAAGGTCATACCTTGAAAAAGGTCAAAACACTGCGCAGTAATTAAAGATTTTCTAATATAAATATCTAAAATATTTATCGCAAAAAAAACTGAAAAATATTCTAAAACTTATTTGCATTGCTGTAATTTTTGCATGAAATCAAAAATTTGTACTTAAAAAAGCATTAAAAACAAATAGTACTTTAAATCAAAACTCATTCAAAAATACAATTCAACAATAACAAAAACACATCTGTCACGGAAAAATTTTTGTACTAGAATTGTGAAAAATAACTTAAGAGTATATATTTATTTTATTCCGCAAATACACTCACATTCAAAATTAAACAAACATTATATAAATTTATTAATTAAATGTTTTTAATTAATTTCAAATTCCGAATTATTTTACTGATATCACAAAATATCAATGAAATAATTTGAATTATTACTCAAATAACTGACATATTAGTCATTAGTTAGTTCTGGAAAGATATTTCAGCTTCTTATAATAATTTTCTGTAGCTAATCTTGCATATGAGTGAGTCCTTTAATGCTTATTAAAGCTTTGAAATTTGTTATTTTCATTTATTATTAAAATTTGCAAATTCTATTTATTAATTAAAGAATAAATGCAATGACAGTATCTTATCATTTGCATTTGGCATCTGTATCGTCCTTAACATTTCTTCATGTGCTTTTTCGATGGAAAGGAAGTGTTTGGAAGCAAATTTATAAGGAATTATTAGTTTGGATTACAACATTTTTAATCATTTCACTATTTTATCGATACCTTCTTAGTAATCAGCATAAAACGTAAGTTCTCAAGTTTATTTATGAACACTTCACGTATTACAATAAGATACCTCACGCAATATCCTAAATTATTGTGTAATTCAAAACTGTTAAACTTATGTGTCTATTTTTGACTTCTGTAAATTTAATAAGAAATGAAATTGTTCGTTTGGTAGTATCTTCGAGAAATTGATCAAATATTTTAATGATCGACTAAATTATATACCAACTACATTTATTCTGGGATTTTTTGTTCATATAATACTCTCCAGATGGTCTGCTATTTTCCACAATATGGGATATATCGAATCGTAAGTTCATATTTTACCATTTTCTATCTTCAAGTCAATTATTTTCGAAAAGTCATTAATGCTTAATGCAAAATAATCAAAGACTTCGTAGAAAGTTATAGAAGTTAATTAAGAAACATTTTAAATACTTGTTAATTATTTAAGTAATAATGCGAGATAATATTTTACTGATGAAAAAAGCGTAAAATTGACGTAAGTAAAATATTTTCAAAGATTTATGATATGAGCGAATATAAAATTTTTAAGCGTGAAAGAAAGTAAAAAGTTAGCAAATATTTAGTGAAAAAAATTAAATTCCAATTTATAGTTATGCATTATTTACTTCAAATTATATAAGTGGAACTGATTTGGAAAGTAAAGTATTGCGTGAAACAATAGCACGTTATATGTGCCTTACTCAAGTACTCGTATTCCGTGATATTAGCATCAGCGTACGGAAACGTTTTCCAAATATTGATAGTATTATTAATGCAGGTAAATTTTTTTCTTTAACCTTTTCAAGAAACAATTTTGTTAATAAGACGGGATCAAAGAATGTTACAGAGGTCAAGCAATAAAAAGACCAAAGACGAGAATTTGACATTGGGCAAATTATTGGTGGAAAATTCTGAAAAATGAGGCAAAATGTTATTAAACTTATTTTGTATAGGATTATGGAGACACGAAAATTGTTAAGCATTACGGTATGAGAAAAAAAGACATCTCAATGGTCGTAAACTTTTTTTAAAATTTAGAACAAATTAGGTTATGGTTGTAGGAATTATTACTGTAGAAGAAAAAAAAATCTTGGATATAATTAAACTTCAATATAACAAATATTGGGTGCCAATACGGTGGATTCATAATATTGCGCAGGTAGCACGTGACCAACAGCGAATAACTAATGATATTATGTACTGTAAATTGTGTGAGGTAAAAATTTGTATAATAAAAGTGATAAATTTTAATCCTTAAAAATTATTAAAAATAACTTTAAATCAATTTTGATCCCAATAACCTTTAGGGATATATTAATTTTAGGAAGTGAATCAATTTCGGCATGATCTGCAACTATTATGTAATTATGATTGGGTACCTTTACCTTTAGTCTATACACAGGTTATTCATTTTAATATCATAAAATAAATTTTAATTGCTCAAAAACATAGTTCTTATACTCGATCTGTTTTCCTAAAGAGTAAATTTATCATTTTTTTAGAGTTAAGTAAAAAGCTTTATAATAATTTTTCACATTTTTAGGTTATACAGTACACTTCCATGAAAGCTTCAAAACTTAAATTTAGAATAATTTTCTTATCGAACAGAATCTACAATTACAGTAGTTTCATCTATTTCTATTTGCTATCAATGTTCAGATATTATTTCTTTGCATTATGAATTCCTTAAAAGGCTAGTATATCTGATATACACTGATAGCAACTAGAAATTTTATAAAAAGTCTTGGTGATATGGAATTCCATATACTAGCCTTTTAAGGAATTCCATATCACCAAGACTTTTCAATAAATTCTAATTCGTAAAATATGTAAGAATTAAATTTTAAGTCAGTCTCAAGATACAATCCCCCTTCGATATAAGCAAAAACTTAATTCGTAGACAAGTTTTTCGAAAATTATTATTGTTATTATTATTATTATTATCAAATTATTAACGATATGTGAATGTTAAATGTAAAAAACTGAAGGCAGTATTTTTGGCGATTTATGTTTATTTTTTCGTTTGTTTGCTCAGTCGACAATTTATCGTATGCAATTGCAAGAGCAATAATGAGGTCAGTTTCTTTAAGGCTATATATTTAAAGTCTTTAAAATTGTCCACGAAGTTTAAAAAGCCTTATGATAAATGATAGAAGCTATCAGTACTGAAAATTATTGTTGTCACTCATTATCTGAGCAGTACAGATATCTTTCTTGAATTATACGTAATTTCTCACTCAATTTTTCATATACGGAATACAAATTTGCACAGTTTTAAAGAGAATGAAAAATACTTGTTGACGTTTGCATTACGTGTATTAATCTTTGATACTTAATGATAGGTTTTAGTTAGATTTAATCATACCAATTATGACAACAATTCAATTCATTTTCTATACTGGTTGGTTGAAAATAGCACAAGCATTAATCAACCCATTTGGTGATGATGATGATGACTTTGAATGCAATTATTTAATTGACAAAAACATTACAGTACGGTATTACTATAATTATGATTATACGGTAAAGCGATTGAGCTTTTTACAAACTTGTAATAGTAATAACCGTCACAGTTGTGCAAACACTACTTGTATTCTGTTTAATTAGTAAAAATTTTAGTCTATCAAATAATAAATAATAATAATAATAACAATAACCAGTATTTCCTATAAAAAGTTTATCAATTTCATTGTTCCAGATCAATTACTTGATATCTGATTAATCCATTAATCCAAATTTCTTAATATTTTAGACAAGTTTCCGTATGGCTGATCACTACGATTGCATTCCAGAAGTTTGATACTATCAATTCCAGCAGTCTGGTTCCACACTATCTTTACAGAAATTTTTAAATACTAGAATTTGGAACAATTCTTTGCTTGGTACCTAAAGCAATAACAATGACAAAGATATTTATGCTCAATAATTGAAGACTGCAACGTTTCTTACGTATTCACATTCATATCAAAAATCCCAGTTTGACCCCAAAGAACAATGCGCCCTTACTTTTATAATAATGAAAAGTTAGGAAAATAGTTCTCACAATTTCCCATATTATCTTTTTCATACTTTTCCTCACAAAGGCTAGGCAATAATATACAGATTCTATAAACGATTGCCTTCGAAACTGTATGTTGGTAAATGAGAAATATCACCAAGAATCAGTTACCGGCGTCGCTTTAATTAATATCTAAGACTTCACCCTAAGTTTTGTTTAATGAAAGTAAATACTGTAAATAGTATACAGTGCTTGCTAAAGACCAATATCTAGTTTCTTCTTTTAGTGTCTTGACACACTTTATTTCACTATAAATTTATTTTTATTTGAAAAAACATGGGTGATAAGGATTATAGATACATTAGGCATCACTTTATATGTCTAGTAGAACCATAATTATTACAAAACAAAATGAATCAAATATGAAGTGATAAAAGTCAGACAATCAAAGAATGCACGCAATCTACTACATTGTTCATTGTCACATTCTCGAAAAGTTCTAAAAAACGAGGGTAGTGTTTTAGTACAGCGCGCGCAGCAATGTGAAACAAACTTGGAGGTTTTAACCATATTCTCTGCAATTCATTTGATCGTCTTTCAAACATGTTATCTACTGTACCACCGAAAACATATATACAACCTTCCTAAAATGAATATTAAATTATTTTTTGACCAACAGACCAGAAGATTACTTTGTAACTTTCTCTGCAAAATTGGTCTATCTGAAGCAAGTCATACTTTAATTATGAAATTTTTTGGAATAATGAAATTGCAATTTATTGAGGAAATATTAACACTGACCTAACTGGTACAAAATATATAAATGCAAGTTTTTACAATGTTTCAGTAATTTATAAACTCATTTTTTACTTACAGGAGTGGCAGTCATTGCATGAAAACAAAGCTCCCCATTTAGTTTACAGGGCAGAAGTTTCCAACACCATTTCTTGAGATCAAGCATCCAGCAATCTTGAAGCAACTTGGGTCGCTATAAAAGTGATTCTTTAGCGCTTAGAATTTTTTTTCATTTGAAGGACACTGACCCTTAATTTTTATAGAAACAGATGAAGAAAAAAACAAATTAAAAACAAAAACAAATAAATTAATAAAAAAATAAACAAGCAAATAAATAAATAATTACATAAACATATACAAGATACTGAAGTATCAAAGTCACACCCGAACTAATTGATTGACGAAGTTGTGCATGACAATTTTCTCGGTACAACCACCAACAATGTAAGCGCAGTCATCTACTTTAACGCATCCATGGTACAAACGGCTCTAAATTAAACAATCATGAGCGCTTTCCACAATTTTTATTTCACATTAACCATTATAATTTGTTCTTTTGAAATACAAAAAATACAATCCATTTATAATATAAAGCAACATGAAAAATTTTATAAATAATAAATAAAACATGAATTTTGAAAACAAATTTAATATTAAAAAATGCTCACTTCTGGATAGCCATGGATGGGATCAGGTGAAGTCATCTGAATGCGGAACTTGTTTTCCGCTATAGTAAAAACCAATAACTGAAAATTGAATCGTGAAATAACTGAACTGAAATCTGGAACAAACTTGTAAAGCAGTGATTTGTCTTCTATTTCTGAACCATAAAAACGTTATTTATCAATTTTGACACAATATTAATCCTTTTGAAATTGCAAAAATTATGATTTAGCAATTTGACTTTCTCGTTGTAGAAAAAAGATGATAGAGATGCAGCAATATTGCTGTACCCGAAATTAGACCTGCATTAAAGTCGAAGTCCATTCTGGCGTACCTCCACCAATGAGAACTATCTCATCTCCAGTTACTAAAGCTTCATGTCTATATCGCCCAATCATTTGAGATCCATCCTGGAAAACAAATGAAATATTTAATTAATATTATATCACAAATAATTTCCTAAATTGTAAACTACATACCTGGAGTAAAAATTTCAAATTTCATACTCACATGAAGTAGTTTCCAATTCCAGCAAACTGGTTTCAATTGATCTATGCTTTTAATTTCCGCATTATCAAATGCAGGTTCCAAGCTGTGAACTTCTAAATTATATTCCCAGCCAGTTGTTCCTCCAATGACATAAAATTTTCCTTTATGATGAACAACACTCTAAAAAAAATTCAAAAGAGTTAAACATATTGTAAATGCACTCTGAAACAAATGGGACATAAAGATTTATTACACAGCTTTGTTTTAAAATGTATTAATAAATAATATTTATCAATAACAGGAATGAAAAAATTTTTCTAAGCGCTGCAACAGTTAATAAACTGAAACATAAAGAATTAGGATAAAAATTTACATTTTAAAATAATAGCAAAAGCAAAAGCAAAACATACAGAACCATATTGCTTCAATGGAACATCTCCTTCAGTTCTTAGCCTTTCCCACTTGAAAACTCCATTTCTCGAGCGTTTTAAGACATTAACATCATTGGTAGCTCTCGTACCAAATGGTATAGCAGTGCCTCCGAACATATAAAATTCGGTCAAATTACGCTCACCAAAATAGCAACCTGTATAACGAGATTTGAAAAAATAAATATCTATAACAATCAATCAATATTTGGTCAGAATGTGTTTTCCAAAAATGATAACTTTCTATGCTCTTAAAAAAGGTGAGGAATTTACATGCAAATGATGCAAGCCCTTCCGGAAAGTTCTTTTTTGGAATCGGCACCAATTTCCAAACATCGGTCAAGACATTGAAACACCAAATTTCCTGAGTGATACAGGATTAAAAAAACTAAGTGTTCTAGAAGAATTTACATTTCTTCTTCAGTAAGACACTAAGAGCATATTAATAACATTAAAATTGTCGTATTCTTCGTTCTGAATTAATTCTCATTACAAAATGTACTGAGAAAGAAAAACCTAGTAAAAGCTCATGTTTAAAATTCTTCGTACTAAAATATTAACCTTTCCTTATTCTTCACTTAGCGGAATTGTGAACAATGGTGCAATTCAGAAATTACGGAAGCTATATAAAACCATGTGAAATTCATTTTTTACTGTGATTTATCTGCTCTGAGCAAATTTTTCATTTCACTTTAGACTGCAATAACAAGTACTTGAAGAAAAAATTCCTATGTCATTATTAGCTTCCTTCTTAACAGAACTGATCCTAACAACAAACCTCAGCAAGTGGAGGCTGGCGATCTGGTGAAAAACCACCAATCACATAAATGTAATTTTGATCACAGGCCATGCGCATTCCACTTCGCTCTGTTAATACTAAAAAAAGCTAGAACTAATTTTCAACCAATGTGATAACACTGTTATAAGGTCCAGAATCAACCTCTTCAAATTAAAAAAAAAGGCTTTGGTATTTTTTTTTAGAGAAAGTGATCGTAAAAGTTTTAAATAACCAATAACAATGCTTGAAATCTAAAAATTCAGAGTGACTTATAAGTGACTTAATTTTTTGCTGAACTGATACAATAAGCGGGTAAAAAAAACATAAATTTCAAGAAAAGCAATAGAGTGAAAAATAGTACAAATTTACGAATGAAAAATATGATCAAATATATTTCTCAATCGATTTTACGAAAATATCAATCATAACAAACTTGGTTCGCGAACTGGTCTACGCCTTCTTCGCTGTCGTTTGTGAAACTGATACTTTACTATTTCAAATGTCACCTCATTGTTGCTACTATCATTTGACACCATTTTGATCTGAAAACATCGTAATAGAGAAATCATACACGAAATGAAAAAATCATAAATAGACAACAAGCATGTAGCGAACAACATTATGATGTGTGATGACTATGCTAAAAGGCACAATAAGGAGCTTAGATACATGCAGCAAGAACTTTGCAAAACTAATGGTCTGGAAGCATTACCACACAAGAGAAGTAACTTTGCTCAAGCAACAATCGCGAGTGAGAACGTGGAGATAAGAGAGGATACGAGATGATTACTCTCTAAGAACAGTGATAAAGACAAATGCGGATCAGGAGGGTACATCGTGCATGAAAAGAAGCGACATGCAGTAATCCTAACAGAGGTTGATATCTCTGCTCAGAACAAGTTGACAACAGTCAGGGCCGAGAAGAGGCGAAAGTATGATATACACTCGCCAATAAACTCGGGTCAGATGTTAAATGAATAACAATAATAATTCCGTAAGTGATGACGCGTATTTGATAGTAATGAACTTCCGTAGACGTTAGATGAAGAAAATCAGTATACTAGATCACGTGGAGGCATGTATCTAATTAATGGCACTCAAAGAGAAGTTCAAAAGCATCTCATTCAATCGAAGTCGTGGATTCGAAGAGGATAAAGCATCGGAGAACAATTTCAGAGAATGAACCGGCGCCTCTATCAATTACAAAGGAAGAAAGATCGTAAATTTTGGTAACAAAAAATAACTCACATATCAAACTTCAGTATCAGATGAAAAAGCGTTCAGCAGTGAACGTAAACGAAGCTTCACCAAATACGACCGCTTTTGACAGGTGACTCATTTAGGATTGAAATAAAATAAATTTGCATCATGAAGGAATATTTGGTAGCTAATTATGCATATAATAACTGTAATAATGCACAACATAAATGTGATATTTCCTGAATAATCACCTGCTTCAGGAAATTTAGCTTCCAACTGTCACATAATTCGACATTTTGCAAGGATTCATATATCTCGAGACTTTACACGAATTCCTATACCTCGAGATTTTGTCCACGAATTCTACTTAAAGTAACTACACTTGCTAGTTTTTTTTTCCTTTATGACGGACCATTTTTTTGGACAAACTATAAGTAATTGTAAAATTTACAAACAGTTTGATCGATTATAAAACTGAAATTACATTTTAATGAGTACTGTAAATTGAATTTTAGAAAAATGGCTATGAAAAATTGTTTGTTAAAATAAAAAACTAAAATTTTTGGAAAATATATAACAGAGTAAGAATGAAAAATGTGAAATGACATACACTTTGAGCTATTATTAAGTGCTTGTGTAAAGTGAGGCATCAATATACGAAAAATATTATAGTTAAGGATTTTCAATTGACAAAAACACAGTAACTTGTGATAATAACAATAATTAGCTAAAGAATCTGCGTTAAAATCCTTAAGAAAAAATGTAAGGTAATAAGTTCAAAAAATTTAAATTCACATATACTGCAGAGACAATACCATCAATGATCATATAGTTATACACTGTGATATTCGTGATTTTTTTTAAAGCTTAAAAATAATCAGTTGTGATTTGAAAATACAATTAAGTCAATTAATATCAAATATTAGATTACTTACATAAATTTATATTATACAATTTACAAGTTTATCTTTACAACTTACACTAAAAATTTTGAATTTACTGAGTAATTCTTAAATATAAAATTATTAATACTTCCTTATTTTTCTTCAAAATATCACAAATAATCAACTAAACAAGAATCAGTTCAAATATAATACTTGTGATTTAATTAACTGTTCAAATAATGAGTGTGACTAACTGAAGTATATTAAATATAACCAGTATATGTAAAACATTTCTTTTCAAGCGTGAAAATTCACGCCTGAAAAGAAATGTTTTACATATATTCAAAATTTTGACAATGATTGTACGTAATTACGAGTTAGCTTAATCATGACTTTGCTTAAAAATGACATAATCCTGAAGTAATAACAGCGAATACTAATAGTAACGATAATAATAACAATAATAGTGATAATAACAATGATGACAATGATGATAATGATAATAATAAAAGTAATAACAATAATATGTCTGAGTTCTCGCAAAACTTTTAGCGTAAATATGTCACACATAGGGCCGCATTTACTTTCTGTACCCATCAATGATAGGCTATCCACAGTATGTATTGAATTTGCAGGCAAATTCCTTGCAGGAATTGTTAACTTTGAACGGAAAGCCAACGTAGTGATTCGAAGAATCAACGTGTTGATGGGTGGGTGTTATCTTCGTCAAAAACTTTGCTTCATGTTTATTGACCCTTTTCTGTGCATATTTTAATTATGTGTTAGTTATTAATTTATATTTATATTTTGTTATTATATTTAGTTGTTTTGCATACAAAATTTTCTTTTTCAATTATTTAACCAAAATCTTTTTTTTTCTTTTTTTCTGTGAATTGATAATCGAATTTATTTTTATTTTTCTTACAATTAAAATTGTAACTAATATTTATTTATTATTTTAATATTTAATTACAGTTGTTTTCCGTCTTCAGCGAGCAGTTATACTTTCGATTTTACTTGAATTACATAGAATCAATTTGGCTAGCGTTTCTTAGGTTATAGTTATGTTTTAATTTAATTATTAACTCAGCAGAATATTGCACGTTTATAAATCGTTTGTGCATAATTGATAGAAGCTAAAAAAGTTAGTTTCTAGTAGTTACCAAAATTCATAACCTTATAAAAGGAGCTAATATTTTTTGATTCGATTATTAAAAAATGATGTGATTAATATGCAGTATTTTATGTATTGTTTGCAAAAATTTTGTGAAATTATTTTCATATTTTTTATATTCAATGATCAAAATGAACATTGTAGATCAGTATTATCCGTAATTTTTTTTAATTTTAGATCATTTTAAATGAAGTGATTTTTTACAGAAAGACTTGAAGCTGAAAAATTAATTTAATTTTTATGAATTCAAAATCTAATACTGTCTTTGATAGAGGATGAACGTGTTGAAGATAATGACAGTGAATTTACAAATGAAATTCAAAGTGCTAGTGTAACTACGGAAAATGTTGATGCAGATATTTGCTCAGCAGAAGAAATTATTGAGGTGAGAGTCAAAAATAATTCTATTGATCATAACTTATCAACTATTAATCATTTTACCATTAGTAACTGGTTTTAATGATAATATCAATTAGGTAATTTCAATTTCGTGTGTCAGCCAAGTAAATGATTTTTGTTGAAAGATTTTATCTGATGGGATTTGTAGGTTTTTAAGGATGTTTTAGAGTATATTTTTTAATAGAATGTTTTACTTAATAGTTGTGCTGCAACCTTATGAATATGTTCTCAAACCATTTTGAATAAATTTGACCATTGTCTTTGAAACGATAGTTTTATGATGGTTAAGAGAAATACAATAGTTGTTCGTAATTCATGATATTTTAAAGGTTGAGGAAACGGAATTAGTTGAAGAAAGCACACTTGGGCAGGTTATTATTGGGAATGATGGTGAATATTATGTTCTATTAACAGTGAATGCACCTGATATAGGTATGGTTTTGAAATATCTTTTATTTATATCTAGATTGATCAAAAATTTTGGTTGGAGTTGGAATAACGTATAGCTGTGTTTAGATTTTGAAAGAATAGAAAATGTTCAAATTTTGAAAAACGATGATGGCACCGAAACGCTTTTACTTGAAATTGATGAGATCAGTGAGTCATCACATTCATGTGGCCAGGAAGGAAAACGTGGGTCTTCAACTTATACAGTTTATTACTTGATAATATTTAATGTTTATTTGCGTGTTTTTAATACATTCATGAACTATTTTTCATGACAGGTTAAAATGCTTTGAAGTTCTGACATCGCATGACTAATAATAATTCAATGGTTTTTCAGACACCTTTTTAGTCATTTCGTGTAAATTATATTGATAAAAACTTCTCAAAAACTGAAGAGTGTAATCGAATAGAATCATGATCTTTATTAATTCCAAATGCTTCAAATTTGAAAGTAAATATTGGTGAAAGTCTATATGGTTTGTTATTGAAATGCACAAAACACTGGTCTGATTCTTGTTAGAAGTAGGAAATAAATCTTTACGAAGCAAAATAATTTTATATTAAACAGCTTGTTAAATATTACATCTCCGAAATTTACAGAAGAAGATCAGTATCAGAGCGAAATAACAGAAGTGGAGAAAAATGGCAGGATCATGCAGCAGTTATTCGGAAACTGCTCAAGTTATGATGCTAGTCAGGTTGGACGATATAGGAGGTACTTTTTTTGAATTTTTTGACTTAAAAGTAATTTGTGAAAAACTAGTATTAGTGTTCATATTTATTAGATTTTTCGCAAATATCATAAGATATCTCGAGATTTTGTATGAATCGAGTTAGTCTTAAATTTGGAGTCACTGTTTCTTCGGAGTGAATTCATCATTTTTAAGTAGTTGCTTATTTTTCATCCTTTCCATTACACTGTTTAATTTCGATATATATTCTTTTCTTTGTTTCCGTTTAATATTTATAATTATGAAGGTATTATTGACTTTTAGGAATCGAGTATATGGAACTTACTCTTGTCCCGAATGTGATCAGACGTTCATTAATACTGCGAGACTGGAAAGACATTTAGCAGTCCATCAAGTATTTCCTAGTTATATTTTCTGATCAGAAGCAATTATCAGTAATAACGCAAAGAGGTTTCCGGACTCTTCAAAGTCTTGCTTTAGTAAATGGAAAATGAAATTTTTTGATCGTTATTTTAAATATAATATTGATCAAAACTTAAATACATATGACGCGCTGTGTAGTATCATATTTTTTAAGCATCTTAACTTTACAGGTTTGTGGCTCTTTTCAATGTCCGCTTTGTCACAAGGTCTATAAATATGAATATAATCTATTTTATCATTGGCGTCGAACTTGTCATGACCTTAACGAATTGGTACCAGCCGAAAGAAGAAGAGTGTGTTTTTAATTGAATTTATATTTGATGGGTATTTTCAGCTCATAGGCAATTAATAATTTATTAAAAACAAATAATCACGTCGTATTCAAGCTTATGGATGTAAATATTTTGCGAAAGATGGTACTAAAGCAAGCACAGAAAAAGGCAGAAGAGACACCACCGCCTGTTATGAAGATTGGTATCAACCCAAATTTGCTCTTCAAATCTGACTCATTTAATCTTTTCGATATGCAAGCTCCTATTGGTAATAATTTTTCTGTTGCGAGACTTCTACGATTATGAATATATTTTCGCCACGGTAATCGTAATTACTTAGTATATGCGAAAGCTTATATGCTGTCTCTACTTAATATTTATAAAATGTTTTCAGGATCACAAAGTAGTGTATATTCGGGTGTACCATGCAAGTATTGTGGTGTAAAAATACCCAGTTTCGTAATGCAGTGGCATGTGGCTGTGCATAGAGGTATTATTGCGGTAGATACTCGAAGTGGCAGTGGTGAACATTTTTGTAGTCTTTGTGGTCTCTTATTTCGCCAACACTACAGTCTTATTAAACATTGGAGGAGTGGTTGCAATGAGATACAGGTCAGTGAAATTTATGTTAGCTTATTCATATAAAGTAGTTTCCACGTTTTTTTTTCGTTATCTGCATTTTTCCGTAGGCACGTCTTCCGGACACTCGAGATATATCTATGGATGACGAGACGTTAAAAGATATGGTATCCGATATAATGCGTGAATTGAGTGAGGAGTATTTGCAAAGATTTAGTGGAGGTAAATTTTTGCGAAAGATCACGGAATGAATTTGTAAATCTTTCTCTTCCCGTTGTTTCAGTCTTCTGCACTGTAAAAATTTCTGTTGAATTTTGAAGCCTTTTTTAACATTTTCAACATTAATATGGTTATCGAAAATGAACTTTAGTAAGAGGGCAGTGGTCTTTGTGATCATTAACAAATTGTGGATTAAAAATCTATTTTTGCAATTTTGTTTATGTTGAAAACCAAGTTATTTGTGACACAGAAATCAATACATGATAACTATTCTAGCTTTGCTTGATAAATTCATTTAGACCAGGTCCACACTATTTCATTTTTTCTTCCTTCTATTTTGTAGTGCATTCCATTAAGTATCACATTTCAAGTATTACACTTTTTTTTAAGTATTACATTTTAGTTTCACTCGAAGATGAGGAGGTGGTTTCACTATCTCAGGACATATTTATTCCTGCAGACAAGGAAAAAGTATGCCAGAATAAATTTATATTAAATATTTGTCTAAGACAATTGACATGAAATTGGTAAGGAGTAATCGTTAAGTTTTAAGGGAGATATGCTTAAGAAGGAAGACGGTGTAGGTGCTTCTTCATTTACGTCATTTTTACTTAAATTCTTCCTTTATCCTTTCAGACTGCTTGACATGTAAATTGTCTGAAAATGATGTTTATATCTTCAAACAAATATTTGTAGAAGTCATCAGGGATTGGTTCTGATCAGGATATCAACCTTTTTCCATCACATGAAATATTAACATCTGGAGATTCCGGGGAAATAGATATTGTTGCAACGGAAGAGCTGCACAGTTCATGGAATTATTTAGACCAGGTTCACATAAGTTCATTTTTTTCTTATTTGTTTCATACTCTGTTATTCTTTCAGTATATATATGAAGTATCTAGGATATAAAATATAGATAGTGTTCATTTATTTATTTATTGGTCATTATGAATTGGTGCAGGTCTCTGGAGACAGCATAAATTCTAATGAAGCGAATCCGGTACGTACTAAGTGGTCTTCCTCTCATGGTATGGTCCAGTGCTCAATTTGTTCCCGTACTTTTGTTAACATAAGCAGGTTCTTGATTAGTTTTAGTTTTGTCATTCTCAATTTAAAAGTTGATCTAAATTGGAAATCAATTTTCACCTTCCTTATTCTTTTCCATTTTTTCTCTAAAAATTAGATGTGCATGAATGCTTTCTGCTTCATATTGACATAAAATACAAATATTTTTACATAATTTGAGATTGGAAAAACATATTGCGGGTTTTCATACTACAAGTGGATCGCACCCATGCATACTTTGCGGTAATCGTTTTAAATATGATTATAATCTTCTCTCACATTATCGTCGCGCTTGTCCGTATACGAAATTGTATATTGATGCGGAGAAACGAGAACAAGTAAGTTAGAGATGTACTTCAAAATATTACTTTCTTGATTTCTCTATATACTTTTAATTTGTGCTCTTAAGAACTAATCAACAGAAATAACATATCTTAATGTCTTAAATAAGGAAAACATTTTATTTGCTCTATACAGTTTCGTATCTGAGTTGTTTGGTTTGTCAGTTCAAAAATTGAAAGCAATATAACTGTTATCATTCTCTTCTACAAAGAACTATCTTCTAAAACATTATTTTCACATTTCTTGAAAAATGCAAAATAATAGCGTTTGCACATTTTTCTTCTATACTTCTGTAACCGTTAACACTGTCATTATATTATTCTAGATGGATGCACCTACATTACGTCGTGCCGTAAGAATATTGGCACAGAAGAATTTGCATCTCACTTCATCACAGAAAAGAATGATCGCTGACAGATGTGGATTAGCAGATAGCTCATTAATAGCTGCTCCGTACTTTCGTATTAGACCTCCATTGGAACTTATGGTTATGCGACCGGATTTGCCCAATGGAAAATCGTGTCCCTTATGTGGTTTGTTTTTTTTCACTTGAATTTACAGGTATTCTCACTCTATTGCTTTTAACTATTTTGATAGTGATCAAAGTTTATTTTGCTATCTCTATTAGGAGAGGTAATATTGTGAAGCTTTTTTTCAGTGTGTTAATTTTTATTTGTGTAAATAAGCTTTGTTTTGATATAAATTGATTTGACGAATAGGCTAATTTTTACGACTAATTTTTACGATAAAACAGTGCGTTATATACAGGAGTGATTTTTTATGGCGAAAGTGCCGTTGAACGTCACATGAAGGCTGTTCACCCATCAGAAGTGAGCCGCTATGTGTTGAGCGAAAAAAAGAAAATATTACAAGCTGCTCCATCTATTAAAGATCATTCTTCAGGTGCATTTTGTGTTGCTCATTTCAGTTTCAGAATATTAAAGTGGAGATTCAAACTCTCAGGTCTAAAAAACGTGATTACAGAAGGTGACAGTAAATTAGAAAATTTATCGAAAGAAAAAGATGAAATTGATAGTGCTGACTTCCCTCCGACGCTTGCACCTGAAGTACCAGTTCAGGAAGTATTTTTTTTGTTCGATCTGTCTTTTTCATTGCAGGACCTCATTTTTATCCCTAAACTTTTTTTTTATTCATGAAAGAATTGCATATTGTTAGTGATAGATTAAATCAGCTACTTCCGCTGTGTGACAAGCTATCGAAATTAGGAAGTAGATTTAAAACTTAAGTGATTTGTTTCGGAATGATAAAAACTGGTATCAATTTCTCTTGCGATCTTCCGCTTTTATAACAAGAGCTGAGAATTGAAAATTATGAGTAAAATATGATGTTATGATATATGGTGCATTTATGCGTAAGTTTGCCCATAAACTATTGTTATTCTAAACTAGCTATATTATACATTCAGAATGAAATAATATTGGCAGTCACTGGCATATGCGTTCTTAAAATGCTAGCTGTAGAAACTAGTCTTGTTGGATATCATAGTGTCTTCAATACTTTATATCAACAATTTGCTTTATATGATACTACTTCAGCTAATATTTAGTGTTTTTTTTTCGATATTTTAGTCAGTAACTGCATCAAAACCTGCTATCCGTCGTGTGTGTCGAGTTGATGAAGATGTTGATGGAAATCAAATATTTTTCGATGAAAACGACGAAGTCGTATGTGTAAAAATACATTTTTTCCTAACTTTTTTTTTGTCTCGTTATCAAATATTGAAACTTACGGAAGATTATTTTATCGTGAAATGTATCGAAGATATATTTTATAATAAAATAATCTTCCGTAAGTTTAAGGATATAATAACTGCATCCAAACAAAGTCCTATATTATTGCCATGAAGTTATTTGCTGAGATTTAGTTCTTTTTTGATGGTTTTTTAATTTTTTCTGTTTCATTTTCAAATGTTGTTGTCAGTCATATAAAGTTATGGAAGATCAGAAGAAAGGTTCTACAAATTGGTGTACATCTAGTTGAACAATACATCTTAGCTTTCTGTTTTATTGTGAAAGATCTCTGTTGTTATTATACTAATTAAATTAATTCAAAAATTGATGGTCAGTTTTAGGTCATTATACTAGATCGCTGATGTTAATCAGAAAAAGTGTAGATGACAAAACAAATTTTAACATTGTAGCCTCAGTCCTAGCCTTATTAGCTTTGACAATCAAATTAGAAGTAAATAATGTGATGGTGAAATCATTTTCTTTTAGTTAATAATTATTAATGTGATAGAGTCCCTAGTTACTGTTTTATGTGCATTATAAGATTGAGCTGGAAGAAGATGAAGAAGTGCAAATTGAGTTTGACGACATGGATAGTATTCAGCACTTAATCGAAACTGGTCAGCTTGCAATAGAAAATGAGGAAGAGAGTCTCGTTTTAACAAGAGACGTAAGTTGTTCTTACTTTATTAAATTATCTCCACATTCAAATTACTCGGTTTTTTTATTATTTGGTTACAAACTTAATTGTATTGCGTTTACTATGCTAATTAAAGTTGTTGTTAAGCATTTTCTTGAGATAAGACTTAAAATATATAAGCAGGATCCGAAGTATTGTTACAATGCCAATTATGGTGCGAGCAGTAGCACGTGTTTGTTTACTGAGAACGTTCATCTTATGGATAATGAAAAATTTGTAACTCATATCAAGAACAGACAAACTCGAAAACATAAATATGACGAAAGTTCATTGCATTATGGTTAGTATAAATATGAAATAGTCATAAATTTTTGATTTAGTTTACTGTTTTTTTTTGTTATTGATTTAGTTTAATTTTTTAATTCTAATGGAGGGAGTTTTTGTTTTTTTTAATAGGTTAAAAGTTATATTGCATGATTGTATGTTCAAGATAGAGGCACTCATTAGATGTAATGTTTATTGTTTACAAATAACAGGTGCATTCTCTTATGGTACTTGTTTACTGTCTTCAAATTAGATTTTGTCTCATCTTCATTCGATAGATTAAATTTTGTATAACAATTTAGTAAAAAGTAGATCTAGCAATTTTAAATATTTCAGCATGTAATATATTTTTGTTTTTTGCTTTTTTGGATACATCAGTTAATTTTGAAGGCTAAGAAATGGAAAAATATTTTTCCTGATATTTTAGATGAAACTTCGGAATCCAGCAATGACTCAGTAAGACCAAACTTGGATGAATCGAAAACTTCGAAAGAGACGTCTAAGGAGGAAGTTATTGAGATGCATTTAGTGAGAATTCTTGTCTAATTATAATTTACCAGTTCATTATTTTTCGATAATTTAATTTATTTTAATATCAATAATAAGAATTATTTTTCATCTTTACCTCATTTAAAAAGGGTTTAAATTTGACGCATTCATTGCTGTATTGATGGAAAGTTTCGTTTGTGTTCTTGCTGATGTCATTTTTTTTGCTTCATAATTGTATTTTTAGCATCTGTGTTTCAGAGTATGGAGAAAAATTGCGGAGAAAATTCTGAAAAGTGATGTGCGTTTAATTTTTTGTCTTTATCGCTGTTGCTTTTCAAGAAGTAGTATTCCAGTTGCACCTGTTATGAAAAAGGAACAGAGTATCATTTCGTAGTAAACTGGACATTTATTCATAAAAAATTATTGCATTATGATTGTACAATCTGTTTTATAATGTTCTGAATCAGAAGTCAGTGATATCGAAAGCAGTACTATTTTTAAAAGAATTCTGACAGCTACTTTTGATTTTAGTGATTTGCTTATTGTGTTCTCTGTAAATTTCCTTGTTTTGCAGCCTAAAAGTTTTTTCAAATTTGTTCCAAAACCATACTTTTTGCTCTTAAAATTTTTATCAGTTTGTGTAATATTTTGTCAGTATTTAATAAATATTTGGTGAATATTTAGTTTAATTCTATGGTAAGAATGTGTGATACGATTTCATGAAATAAGGAATATTTCTTACTTCTAAATAAAAATTTGCCTAACGTAGGAGGCACATAGAGGGATTGTGAAAATTTGAAAAGATCACAGTGCTGAGACAAAAAAAAATCAGTGTTATGAATACTAGGAGATATAGTGGCAAATTATACCGTGTTTTTTAGGGTTTAAAGTTGGGGAAAAAGCAGTAAGATATCAGATGCATGTTTGGGAGGGAGTACTGTTACTGCTGTAGTTTGGTAGATATTTTACTCTTTTATATTTCAGATTTTATGTTTTGGGGCTAAATGATTCAAGATAATGATTGTGAAAGTCAGCCATTGGCTACATTGAAAAGACTCGACTATTCTGAAAAAGAAGTTCTATCGCCTTGCTCATCTGTATCAAATGCATTACATGGTTTACCCCTTGCAAGGGTTAAAGCAATTATGCAAAGTGGTGGTGAAGAAATACCAATATCAAGTGAAGGACTTTTTACCATGGCAAAAGCTGCAGTAAGCTTATTTGGTGCTTTTCTTTTGTGGATGCGAAGTTATTTTCATGATTCTTTAGCAATGATATTTATTTTTCTAAAAGAAAGCGTTCAAATAAGCTGAAAAAATATTTAAATTGTAAAGAAATATGAAAGAGGAAAGCTTAAGTTATTGTTTTTATATTGTGGTAATAGTTGTATGATAGATTTTTCACTTTCAATATGATGTTTATTCTGATGTTAAAAGTGTTAAATGTTTATTGTAAATAGGAATTTTTTGTGAGCAAATTAGCCAAAGAATCATATGAATCAAATGAAAAACCGAAGTATCTTGAATATTCTCATTTATCGGAATATGTTCAAGAGAATGACAAACTCGAATTTCTTCATGGTTTGTATTGACAACTATTACTTTTTTTTAATTATAAAGAAATATAAAAGTTGATAAATTAATACAAGCAAGGTAACTGCTATGAAAGTGAACTGACTACTGTTAACATATAAACAAGTGATTACGATGCATGTTTATGTATCGAAATTTATAATGTTCAGAATGTAGCATAATTATGGGGAATTGACTTTACTTGGAAATTTCACAGAATTCTGGCAATGTTTACTGTTTAGAAATGGTGCCACGTATGGTAAATTTTGGAGATATTATGCATTTGGTGCAGCAAGCGGTAACAGAAACATGAGAATATTGTTTGTTATAGAGCGCCAAATAATAATGTGTTTAATCTCTTAAACCGAAATTTTTCAAATGTGTAAAAATTGAGTAAAAATATTTCATGGTGTTATCTGGAAATAGCTTGTGTTGTATATACATGTGCTAATAAAAAGGCTATAAAGAATTCTGATGCAGGATAATGTATTATGCAAAGCAGTAGAAGGCATAAAATCACAATTTCTTAGGTATTGAAGTTTAAAGACTAGTACTATTGCTTCTTACTTGTTGAATGATTATCCTATGGGATTTATTTGACTTAGTTGCGAAGAGGTCATGCTTCTAAATTCGATAATTTGTAGGTTGATATATTTTGAAAAGAAAAGTTTATCAAAAATAGTGGTGCAATTTGGTTTAGAAATAGTATATGAATAGCTGTAATTATCCGATAGAGAGGGAAATTTCAGTCATATATTGGCTTCAATCATTTATGCTGGCAGATTAGGTAGTAGAATTCACAAAACGAAGTTTATTCATTGCCAAGAAAGAAAGTAATGGTTTTGGTAAGTGATCAACTTTTTCACTTACAAATCCTGAATGCTGCATTAAAATATGGTAGTAATATTGCTCTGGTATGTTCTATTTTTTTAAAATATTTCTTGACTTCATAATTCAAACCCATATAAATCATAGGATTAGATTTTTAAAAGTCAGTTTTTAGTTACTAAGATTCATTTTGCTGTATAAGTGTACTTAAGGTTTTGTGTAGGCATTTTCAGAACATAATCGTTAAATGTTGCTCATATAAAGACTATAAACGATAATAATAATAGCGAAGATAAATGATGATAACAATGCTAAAAATAATAATAGTAATAATGATAATAAATTAATTAGTGGGCGGTAATTGTTCAGCACTAATGGTCTTTACGGTCAAGGTATTTTCCGAACATGGACAAAATTTTTTTAAGCTGATTGCTCAAATATCTAAAACTTATAATTTAATTATGAACTACTCTCAACCGTTTTCTAAGACTAAATGGACAAACTTTCTTGTTCTCTTTTGTTTGTAAAGTTTGCAAATTGAAATTTTAGTTAAAAAAGTAAACTATTTCACTTGCAGAGGTTAAAAAATAAGTTAATGGTTATAACTTGTAAGACTTTGCAAAAGTATGAATAATATATTTGCAACGGAAAAATACCGGATAAAAAACTATTTGTTATTTACTTGATTATCAAGTTACTTAACTCACGGAAAAGATTGCAGTATTAAAGCAAATTGCTTGCAGATAAACTTTACGCAAAGTAACTTACGTGAATATTAAAATAGTTGCAGACTAATGCTCATACTGCTGACAAGATAACATTTGAAGAACTTCGGAGTAAATCATATGGCTTCTCAAATGCTCTTCGCTTTCTTGGGGCTAAAAAAGGGGATATTGTAATTGTATGCTTGGAAAATTGTTATCATTATGCAATAATTTTCCTGGGAAGTGCATTAATTGGATGTTCTATATCTGGTATTCATCCTGAATCCACAAAATGTTAGATTCTTAATTAATTAATTAATTTTTCCTGAAATTCCCATGAAGATTTATTTCTTATAATTTCATCTTAATTGCTAATTATTGTAAAATTAATTTAAATGTATAATGAAGTGAAAATTTAGATGAATTGCAAAGAGTTCAAGAATTAACAAATGCTAAATTTTTAATACTATCATCCCGAAATTATCACATTGCTGTTGATTTTATTCAGATCTGTCAGGTATTTTCGTTTTTTTTACTGCAATATTCAAATGTTCACTACATTTCCCTCCACATTTGTACAATTTCTCCGTACAATATAAATCCAAAAAAAACATTTTCTGTTAATTAATTACTAATTTTTAAAAATTTCTCTTCCTGAAAAAGCTTTAATATACTGCAAAGAATTCAATTTAATAAATTTGGCGCCTTACTGAGATTTTTGAGAAAAAACAATTTGGTTTGCAGCTTTATTATTTTAAACATTTTTTCACCATATTTATTCATTTATTCTCTTTTTAAATTTTTTTGAATTTGAATTGTTTTTTCATTTTTTATTTTTAATTTTTTTAGGTAATAATTTTAAATCGGCAATATGGTCAAATTGGAAATGATTTTGATGATTTAATAAATAAATGGCAAAAATATAATTTTACTGAAAGCAACAAAATTGCAATAGATTTGGGGGATGTATTATTGACACCATTCAGTAGTGGTACTTCTGGCTTACCAAAATGTGTTCAACTAACTCATCTCAACTTCAATACTTCGACTGCTATTTTAAAAAAGTTTATTTGTTTGTTTGTTTGTTTTTAATTTTATTTGATCAAATTAGATCATAATTGGCTATGTTGCTTCTGATCGCTATAATAATAACATTTTTTTAAATCATTTTTAGTTTATTTGTTGAGCAATATTGCTTTAGCTTGAGGATTTTACAATATACTTTTGATCATTTTTAGAGTTCTGATAAAAACTGATTACTAAAATCTTTAATTTAAAGTGCTTTTTTCAAATTGCGCACTGTTTAGTTCTCATTAACTGAAATCAGAAGTAGATGAAATATTTTAAGAAATCAAAATTTTGTTTTGTTTTTATTTATTTTTTGAACTTATTCAGTGTTTCAAATTAATGCTATTTTTTAAAACTAATCACAAAAATTAAATTATCAAATTATGGCAGAACTAATATTCGCTAACAAAAATTCAAAGAATTATAACAATTTATTTTTGTTCAGTACAATCCTATTTTAAATTATAAAATATGCAAATAAAATAAAATTGAGGGCTTTGTTCGATAAGCTATCAGGAGATAATTGTCGTTCAACTGTTGGCATATTACCATTTTATCACAGTTCTGGATTCTGGGCTTTGTGCTACTGTTTACTTGAAGGACATCATACAGTTATCATAACTCATTTTCATTTGGCATTAATGCTGAAATGTATTGAAGAGTATAAAGTTAATTTTTTTTAAATAATAATTAATATTGACAATAATTAGTAATAGTAATTAATGACTCAAAAATTAAATGTGATAGTGCTATTAAGAAAAACCAATATTTATTATTATTACTATTCTATCAAGTAAAAATAAAATATAACTCGCAATAATTTATCTTTTTACTTAATTTTATTTTTGCTGCCTTTTATATAAACACAAAAATGTAATACTCTTTGTATATTTTGTTTTTTACATTATTGATTTTAATTTTTATTTAAAATTTATTGAGGTTGATACTTTAAACTTGGTACCAGCAATTATTGAAAGTCTTTGTCAAGATGACATAGACGTGAAACGTTGGAATTTATCGTCATTAAAAACAGTACTATGTGGTAGTGCTCCTTTAGGTAAAGAACTAATCAAACGATTCTTACGTAAATTTCCTCACGTGCAAAATTTGATACAAGGTATTTTACATTAAATAAAATTATTTCAAATTGTTCAAAAATATTAATGGCATAGAAAATTGAATTGCCCCAACAGTATTTTCATAATGCATGATAAATGATTTGCACTACAAAACTTGTTAAAATACTTTAGTGCAATCATTATTAATACTTTATTTGAATTATTCAATATCTTATTTAAATTATTTGGCACTTTGAACTTTAACTTTTTAACGTATATCAATATGAGAGGAAAATTTTTTAAATTTTGTATTTTTAGGCTATGGTATGACTGAGACAGTAGTTTTAAGTCATGTAACACCTCTTGATAGATCATTCAATGATGAAGATCACGTGGGAAGTTGCGGTAAACTGTTACCAAATTTTGAAGCCAAAGTAATTAATTAATTAATTTCTTATGTATGTTCGAAAAATTAATCACTGTAATATCCCAAATTTGTTGTAGGAAATACGCATTAATTTTTTTTCAAATAAATGTTTAAGAGAAAATGTTTTAGAAATATAAAATCAAAGCAGTTTAAAACCTTTTGATCAAATTCTATTTTAATTGTATTATTAATCTTAATTAAGCTATTGAAGGAACAATTTTTACCTTTTCAGTTATTAGATGAAAAAACTGGTGCAATACTAAGTGAAGCATTTCAAGTTGGAGAGTTATTGCTAAGGTCAAATGCTATTATGAAAGGTTATTTGAACAGTGAAGAAGAAACAAGAAAAGTTTTTGATAGCGATAATTGGTTGCATACAGGTTCTTGTAATTTTTAGTCATATTTAATGTAGTCTAACTTACGTAATACACGTCTGCTGCGTGATAAAAGTTGCAAATCAGTACACAAACGTAAATTTTTTCTAAATTGTTTGGTTCACTTAATTAGTGTGATGTAATTAATAATTATCATGTAATTGTTTTATCAATTATGCAATCAAAAGTTTTTTAATAAATTTTTTAATCAATCAACAACTTTAAGCAGCTGAAAAATTAGTTAATAAAAGTATGGAAGGGAACAATATTAAAATTATAAAATCATAATTAAAAAATTATCCTTTTCATTATTCAAAAAAAATTTACCATAACTGAAATGTTATCATTCTCGAAAAAGATTACAGAATGAAGCAAAAATCATTTTGGAGGGAAATTACTGTAGCATAGAAAAAATTATAGCAAAAATTCATCATAAATATAAACGATAAGTTTTTGTAACAAAGCATTTGATAAAATATGCAAAAAAATTTATTAAATACCTTTATAGTTATTTTGTCATTTTATTTTTTAAATTGATTACTAACATCAGCGTTGAGAATGAAGCTAAAAACTGATTTGAAACTAATTCTATTTGAATTTAAATTCAATTATTCATTAAAAAACTTGTTTGAATCAACAATTATTTTCAAAATTTTTAAAACATTTCAGCATTTTTAATTCAAAATGAATAAAAGTTATTTTTAGGAGATATGATGTATTTCGATTCCGATGGTTATTATTTCATCGTTGATCGAAAAAAAGACTTAATCAAAATGAATGGCATGCAAGTGTCACCGTCTGAATTGGTTCATATTAACCTGTTTATTTTTATGATTTGTTTTCTAATATTAATAATTTTTCTTTATATTATTTCATTTTAATATTGCAAATTGCTATTTATCATAATTCACTATGATTATTTATAAATTCAGGAAGATGTTTTGAAAAGTCATGAAAATGTGAAAGATGCTGCTGTCATTGGTATTCCTAATGCGGACCATGGACAAGTTTCTTTTTTTATTAATTACTTTTTTGAAATTTTAATCACCAAATATGTGAAATTTAAGTGCTGGGACTAATGCTGATAAAATAAAAGTACTAGTAAGAATTATGAGTTTGGAATGATATATACAATGGAAATTATGAATTTAAAAAAATAGCATTTTAATAGAAATAAAAAATATTTATAATTAATGTGGCATTTTTAAATAAATGCACGATGCTAACTTTGTACTGTTGGTACCAAATTTTACGTTACTTACGTGAATTGCATCAGTATATATAATTTTGTAGTGCAATAGGACAATTTGTATTTGTGTAGAAGTATTTAAAGAGAATATTTTTGCAAATTATTTATTCATAGTGCAAAAAATACATTGTAATCAGGTACCGAAAGCATTTGTGGTATTAGTGAATGATGAAGGTAGTGAAGGTCAACTACAAGTTCTTATGAAGTATTTAAAAGGTTAGAATCAGTTTAAAAATAATTAATGAATTTAATTTATAAAAATAGCATGCAAAAATGGAACAAGTAAAGTAATAATAATATGTGGTTTAAATGTGAAGGATATTTTGATTTAAAAATTTTGACTTGCTGACTTTGAAGAGAAAAAGATATTATTTTTTGAAGGTCAAATTTAGAGCATATAAATGGTTAATAAATATTCGAATAATTACCCAACAAAATAATTATATTTATCAAATAGTTCATAAATTCAAGTTATCCAAATATCACACCTTTGGTTTTATAAATTATTCAACTTGCCAATTGTTACAGATCGAGTCGCACCACATAAATACTTAAGAGGTGGTATTGAATTTGTTCAATCACTTCCAAAATTGCCAAATGGTAAAACATCTCGAAAAGATTTAATACATTTGTTATCTGAATCTTAATAATTATTGAATTTTTTGATTTTTTTTGAATTATGATTCAATACATTTACTACATTAATGTAATATTTATTGAATTTTACTTTGTATAATTTCCGCCAATGTTTTTGTCAAATAAAATTCTCGACTATTTCACGATTTTTCTAAACTTTATAAAGCCTTGATAGTTTTGAAAACTGTCATCGAAAAGTTGGTATTTTGTATATTGGTTCTGGCGCTGGAATCCATAAATTCAAAAATTTGCAATATTTTGTTGAAGTTTTATTGAGTTATAATAATAATAATGATAATAATAATAATTATTATTATTATTATTGTTATTGTTATTATTATTAATAGTATGAATAAATAAATAAATAACTAAGTAGATGGATGAGTAAATAATATCAAGACTAAATAGTATCAATGATAACTCAATAAAACTTCAACAATGCAGTGCAAAATTTTGAATTTTTGAATTTTGCATAAAAAATAATTCTTGACGTTATCATTTAAAAATAGATTTATCATTTACACAACTCATTGTTTAGTCAGTTACTTTATCGAACGCTGTACTCAATTAACCAATTTGTGTTGGCTTTTTATCACAAGAAACGTTGCTACAGAGATTATTCTGATTAAGCAGTTAATTTCAGATTCAGCACACTTTCATGAAAATATATTATACAAGTATTGCTATAAAATACGGGTAATATTAATTTTTATTATACTATATGCTAGCACAACTATCACATATTTTTATGATTAGCATTTTTTTCAAATTAAAAATTGCTAATATGAAAAAGATATCATAAATAAGTCTCAATTACTGAAAAGTATTATTATGTATACATTTTGTAATTTGAACTGATACTAATTATATTTAGAAATATTTTTCATAACAAATTAGTTATGAATTATTTTATTACTTCCAAAATTACTATTCAGAAAAGGTATCAAAGTTATCACCGAGGTAGTTTAAATACGAAAATGTCGTGGTATTCAAAAATTTATATATTTGTGCGAAACTATCGAAGCAAACATCCATTTCGAGGATTCTTTTTGCATTTGTCATTGAATGCACTTCTTGTACTACAGATTTTCATTTTTATTTATTCGTATGCTTTTTTTCTTTTATGTTTGTGAGAATTTTAAACTTTTTTTTAATATTCTTTTTTTGATTTACTATTTTAGTGCTACAAAACTTTAATTTAATTATAATTTTGAGCATTCTTAATGTGCTTTTAGCTTATTGAAAAAAATTTTAAATACGAAATTTTTCAAATTGCATTTTTCTGTTTTAAAAAATATTTATTTTATTTTAGTATTTTTGTAATTTTGACAAAGTGATTTCTTAATTGTAATTGTAGAAAATATAATTCATTGAAAGAATTGCTAACGAATAAGGTAGAAAAAAAATTTTGCATTAAAAACTAATCGCTCACTATCAAAACTGTAGCATTCTTAAGATAATTTTTTCACATTTTGAAGTTTCTTTTGAATAAATATTCAAATTTGAAAATTTCCTTCTAATAGACTTTGCGGTAAATCATTATTTGTAGTGTTTTTTCATCTTTTTTCACAATTTCGAGTAAAATATGCAAATTATTGATGTCTTATTTTGAACAATATTAATATTAATCATTTTAAACCATACTTTATTATAAACCTTAGAGCGCAATTTTATACTTTGATAAAAATACAATTTTGACAGAATCATGATTACTGCATTTTAAAAAATAATTTCCTTTCAAAATGAAATTAAAATAAGATTTTCCAATTTAAATTATATTTAAAGATATTACGTGTATACGTGGATTACTTGTTTTCAATTTTTAACGAATACAACTCAAATTACAATTTATTTAATTGTATTCAATATGGTACTCTTTATGATGTTATGGTCATTGATAATGTCAATTACTACGCCAACCGCGCGTGTGCCAAGTCAGTTCTTTGTGAGTTTTATTAGCATCGAAAGCTACTTTATATAATAAGAATTGGATTTTTTCCAATACCTATACTGATATCTGATTGAATATTAATAATTTAAAGTACCAATAATATTTAAAGTTTTATTTTAAGTTCATATTGAAATGCAAATTTATTGTAGTAAATTTAAAGTTATAAAGTTTTATTTTGCAAAGAATAATTTATTTTGTTGGACTAACTTTTGAAACAATAATAGAACAATACTTGATTTATTGATAAATAATCGAATTTTTTAAATATCTGATTTGCTATTTTTAAAGTATCGATATGATACAACCAAAATTATCAAGTCTTTTTTTTACTCGAGTATTTGTTTAAAATTACAATAGGTCAAATGCTGTCAGTACACAGGCTGATAAAGAAACAGATGAAAGATTAAAAGCAGTGACTCCGTTCAAGGATTACCGGTATCTACCGGATACATCTACGGTTGAACAAATTCAAAGACAATCTGATATTTTAAATAGTTTTGCTGAAACTAAAGGATTACGTTTTGTTGAAGTGGACAGCTACAATCGGCTCAGGCATATTATTAGTATTTTCATATTTTGTACAGTTTATTCAAATTTTTGCTTTATTTAAAAATAAACAATTTTCATAGCTATTAAATTCATCAATTAAAAAAACAACTTATTACTGTAAATTATTTGCATCTCAAAAAGTTATACTTTATTAGGTGGAAGAAGAAATGTCATCCAAAAATTATTTTTAACAATGAATTTTTGATGAAAATGATGCACGCACGCGCGATTTATTATTTTTTAGCATTTTACTTATCAATTTTTTGTTACAAAAGCTATCATTCTAAAAAAAATGCTGAAGAATGTTGATAATCAAACAAGTTTAATAATATTCAATTCAAGATACTGTTATCAGTGCTCTCTGATCAAACCTGATCGAAGTCACCATTGTTCATCGTGTGGATTTTGTGTTGTTAAATATGACCATCACTGTCCATGGATTAACAAATGTGTTTCATTTAATAATTACAAATACTTTATGCTTTATCTTATTTATGGATGTATATTATTAGCTTGGTTAGTATTTCATCTATTGTAATCATTACAAAAATGTAAGTAATAATAGTAAGATTTTGACAGCAATACTACTAGTGATCATAATAACAAAGATATTTTCATGGAGATATAAAATACAGTAATAACCATTGTGATTTGAAAGCTATATAAAATATATTAATAAACACCACAATTTTAAAGATAAAATGAAAGTACAAATATGTTAATTTTTATATAATGGCACTTATATGTAAAAGCTTATGACTGTCTATTTTCCAACTAAATCATTATCTTTGAATTACAATAAATTGAGCAGAAAACACTGTACAGTAAATATACACATTAGTATTAAATGATAATATATTTTATTATGATACTGTGAAACGAAAAATCTCTATTACAGTGAGTTATTGTAAGAGTTAATGAAGTAACAGTCACAAGTTGAATAAATAATTACAAGTAGCAGTGAATAAATAACAAATTTAAATTTATTAATTATAAGGCAACAATAACAATAGTCGCAATACTGGTAGTGACAAAAAAGTTAAATCAGTGGTAATCAATAATAATAGTAATATTAAAAATAATAATAATAATATTATTATTACTATTATAGTAATATTTATTTCGTTAATGTCTTCTTGTGCATAAATAAGACATGAAAAATCCTTTGAAAGCAACAAAGTTCGAAGTTCAGGGCATTGTTGACAAGTACTGAATGTATTATTCGATATTTTGTACGCCAACAATGGACAGAACAAGTTATCAATTTCATTTGTGTCCTTTTATGCGTTATTTTATTTACTGTTTTTGGTTACTATCCACTTGGAGAACTTCTTATTTATCATATTCGATTAGCGTCACTCAATGAAACAACTTGTGAACAAGCAAAACCACCTAATATTCGGCAAGTTAACATAACTATTGTATAAAATGCAAAGGTCAATTAGGGATAAAGGTTATGCATATAAAATGGTAATGCTTATAATTTCAAACAATATTCGTCTCAAAGAAGTGCTCAAGGTAAATGATTGAAATTTTAAAAATTAGCATCCAAAATCAATCGAATTTGTACTATTAAACATGCCTTTTGTATGAGTTACTTACTTCTTTTCTACGGTAACTTATCGTAAATTAATTTTCAAGAATACAGCAATAATTACTAACTGCTTGAAAGCCATATTTTTTCCACTGAAGATACAAATGAGAGTGATATCTAATAAACTTGACCTAAAATTATTATTTTTTAAATTATTCAATTATTTATGTTCAATTAAATGATTTGTAACTGATGTATAAAAAATATGTCTTGTTCGTAGTGAAAACTGATTTGGAGAAATTAAAGTTAAACTTTTTCAAGGTGAAAAGTGAATAAAAACATACGACTTGTTAGAGTACTTTGAGCACGGACCTTTGTTACGTATTGTTTAAACCTTACGAGCTTTTTTCAGTCTAATAAATGTAATCATTCTTTATGCTTGAACTGTACTTCGGTGTATGCATAAGTTTTAGAACTGTAAACAACATGAAAACATTTAATTTTAATAACAAATTTTTTAATTTGAATTTCTGTTCTAGTTCTTTTTTTTTCAAGCAGATATAAAATAATGAGTAAGCCATTCTTGACACAATCATTTTGAAAATAAAATATGTATATATGCGAGTGAGTAATATACATTAAAAATTAAGAAATAAAAATATCCACAATTCATAAGAGCGTTTAATGTTACAGTGGAGATTCAAATGCTGATTATAACATGGGTGCATACAGAAATTTACGTGCTGTATTTGGTTGGGGTTTATGGGCATTTCCCGTGGATTCTCACGTAGGCGATGGCATTCATTTTCCTGTTCGGTACTCAGAACATGCAACAGCTGTAAAAGAAATTCGATATAGCGTACATAGGGAAGATGAATTCAAAAGTAATGAACAATATTCTTGATCAAATTTATAATAATTATTCGTTTTTCACTGTTAATAGCCCTGGCAAACAATATTCGAATAAATTGTTGGTAATGAATTACTAATCTGAAAAAAAACAATCTGATCTGACTGATCTATTCAAAGTTTTATTCAAACAAAATTGATTAATGAATGATTCATGATAGATTTAAAAAAATTACGTTGATTTTTATATTTTTAGTTTACTGCAATTGTAAACAATATGAATACATCTAGTTTTAATAACAAATTATACAATATTTCTCATTATTATCAGTTTAGATTATATCAGCTAAAGAATGAATTAAACATCCAAATCAATCGGTATTCAAATTAAAAATATTGAAATTTACAAAAAAAGTTTGAATAAAACTGCGAACCTGAAAAATAAAGAAGATCTTAGAACAACATATTTTAAAAAAATTTTTAAAAAATTATGTGGAGCATTTCTGGATTCATGATTTGAAAAATTCATAACATTATATAAATATATGAATATTATAAATTGCATACACCTTTGCAAACGTTTGATCTCAGTGCAATAATTTCTTCCCTAAACTCTCTCCATCACATAGTACAAACAATCTAACTAACAAAAGTATTAATCAACAAAAATTATAAAATAGCATTTTCAGACAGTTAATAAAAATTAATCATGCAAAAGAATAGATAAATTTCACGTCTTAAAATTAGTAATTCGAAAGAATAGATAAATTTCATGTTTAATATATCTTACGTAGTCTAACAAATTCTGACGTCTTAATATATTGAAGGGAAGGCTAGAGAAGTCCAGAGGTACCTTTAGATAGTAGGTTAGAGGTACGCCTCACAAATTCAGCCATTAATCAACACTGAGACATACAGATATGGCGGTACTCTTGGACATACCCTACAGATGTAAACAAATAACTTGGAGTGAGATGCTGTACCATTACTATGCTAGAAGACATAATGAAGTGTCGCGGTGCATACACCTGAAACTCTGAAAGAAGAATACCACGCATGTTTGAAACCATTCCCACGCATGCGAAGGAATTCCGTTAAGAAGATTGTTGCTAGGATAAGCCTTGCTAAACGTTTAAAATGAGAGCAGACTGACGGGATATCTTGCTTTGCGATATGAGATGACGCTAAGTAATTCTGATATAGGCTGGCATCACTAGTGAAAAAGAGTGACTGCAGTCGAGAGCGAGAAAAGGCGAAAGTATGATATGATATATGATATACTTGCTAATCAACTCAGGTCAGATATGAAATGCGGGACGAGAATAGTTCCGTATGTAATGACGTGAAATGAGATAATAGTGAATAACCACGAACATATACGTCGAGCAAATCAGCAGTATAACTTATTACATATATACAATCGATAGTGTTCAATGTTCACTTTTAAATGCAATAAACAAGAATGCAGCAACGAAGATTAGCGTTTTAAAATGACTGCCAGGGAAGCCACAGAGGAAGATTCTAGAAACCAATTTGACGTCACTACCAACACTGAAAAGAAGCTAACCTTCGTCTTATCATTATCATAGTCACAATCATTTTGAACTTGTGTGCAAGAAAAGTTATCCAGTCATATGGGTTCAAATTTAACCATTTACAATGTTACTTTTTATTACTTGAGGAATTATTTTCAGACAGAGAAAGACGGTGTAAATTTATAATCAAATTTGCATATTGAACAAAAATTTGCATATTTTATGAAAAGAATTAGTAGCATTTTAGTGGCGTAAAATGTAGGTAGTAAAGTATATAAATTACTATGATGGAATAGTTTCAGACGACTGAATTATTTAGTAAGCGCGAGAATTTTTTCAGATATTTTGCAAATTGTTGCTTTTATTGTACTTGTAATTGTCCACTTTATCTGCGAGTAAATTAGACTTACTGAACTTTGACCTGAACAAATCACAGTGTAGTGCAGAATTTATCAACGCATTTACTCATTTTAATGACTAAGAATGACTTTGTACTAAAGTTAACTTAACTGTGTTATTTTTCATTAAATTTGACCACAGTCAATAATTATTAATTTATAAATTTTAATTTAAAACAATTCCCTCTCCTCATAACAGTGCAGACATAATGTACACATTCACTCGAAAGAAGTACATGAATGGCTCGCTCGCTTGCTGACTGCACACCAAGAGAGCCAGCCCGTCACTTGCAAGACGAGGCAGGCAGGCAGGCAGACAGGCAGGCAGACAGGCAGGCAGGCAGGCAGACAGGCAGGCAGGCAGACAGGCACTGTCCCTTCATCTCTTTATAAGGGACCATATAAATAAATCACACTTTGTCTTTGTCAAACAGCAAATTTGCTCACAAACCAATTAATATTGCTACAATTTACTCACAAATCGATCGATATTGTCAGAAATTTACTCATAAATCGATCAAAAATGTCACAATTCACTGACAAATTGATCAATGTAACAATTCATTCACAAATCGATCAATAATGAAACAAGATGCTCACAAATCGATCAATAATGAAACATTTTATTCACAAACCAAGCATTATTGTCACAATTTACTCACAAATCGATCAATAATCCACAATTTACTCACAAACCAAGCATTAATGTCACCAAATTTGCTTACAAGCATTATACAAAAATAATCCCTTACAAAAATTCAATGCTACTTTTAGTATTTGCTAAAAATTTTGTAGGTATATTAATTTATACAGTTTTAGTGAAAACTATGAATTTGCCTGATTTATTTGTGATTTTTGTTATAGTTTGACATAATTTCAGTCGCAGGTATACTTACCACCACAGCTTTGTTCAATTTAGATGTTTCTTTTGAGGAATTCGGAATTCGCAAAAACAGTACAAAGCATATTTTTTGATTCATTTCGTTATGAACTACTAAGCGTTTTCAAAGTTTCAATAATTTATGTTTATGCAAAAATAACTGCTAACAATGAATGATCGAAAATTGTAAAATGTGAAAAACTTCCAAGAAATTGGACTTTATATTTTGTGTGCTTTTAAAATGTTACTTTATTTCTTATACTCAAAACCAAAGCAGTAATTTTTTTGGTTTGCTATCAGCTTTGTTGTTTCTTGTTTTTCTTTGTTTCGTCAGTTTGTTGGTATCAGTTTGTTGATATCAGTTCGTTGTTCAGTTTGTTGTTTTTTTGTTTATTGTTTATTGTTTTTGGTTCAAGTCTTGAAAAAGATTAAAGACGTGAAGTACGTCAAACGCGTAGTATCTATGCACAAACAACTGATTTTGGTACAAACAGTTCGTATCATTAATATAATCACTTACAAATTGCATTGTAAAGATTTAATTCCTGATCAGGAATGCACATTTGATCTAAATTGTTAATGCTAACTTTTTTGCTTTAAGATTAACAGTTTCATTTTAATTTTGTCAGCTTACAAATGTTAAGCTAGAATAAAATGTGTCCATATGGTTGTTTGCAATGTACAATTGATGCATATTAAAGTGCTGATATTAAAAAACTATTGGAAAACTACCTTGAAATTTTCTACAAACTTACGAACAAGTTTGCATAAATTCTGCAACATGCAAGTTTCTGCAGATAATTTCTGCTTTGCTATCATTTATTTAAGCAAGCCCAACATAAAGCTCAACATCATATTTCCCAGATATAATAATAATATTTAATTTGAGAAAAGACAATTTTGTTTCACAAAAATGATAATATCTCTTCTTGGTTGTCTGTTTTAAGCTGCGATATTCTTAGATATTTGTTCAAAGCGAAGATAAATATGAATGCATTATGCAGAAATTGAGACTGCTGTTTCTAAATATAATTTCGTTACATTGCATGCCTTTGCAATAACCCTGAGATACCTGAAAACATTCTAGGTAACATTGCCTAAAATGTATTCTCAGGTATCTTATCAAGAAATTCAATCAACTTCTGTATTTTTGCTGTAGTTTTGATTGATTCTCATGATTAAATGCTCTATTGGATAGATAACTATATATGTATTTATATTGCAATACAATTATGCAACAGAAATTATTAATAATTATGCTTGACCTAAATATTGCTAACTAATAAGTAACAAACTTGGTTTGAAGTTCGTATGGATTTTGCGCGCAAAAAAACATAGATCTTAGTTGACTTGATGTTCATTTAAAAGTAGCTAACAGTGATAATCAAACATCACTATTCTCAGAGGATAAACGTTATGCATACGTAATGAAAACGTGCATTTAGGCATACAGCCATGTGTATACTAAAGAATAACATATATCAAAGCATATACAAATTTATTTTTATCAAGACGAATTTTTTATCACAAATTCATTCTGGAGCAATCTAAAATAATTGGACTTGATGCATTTGTGTTTTTCTGAATCAAACAAACCACTGATTGATTATTCAATCATTCAATCATTCGATCCATCAGTCAGTCTTCAGTTAATCAACTGATCAATTAGCAAAAAAAAAATGAATCACTTGATATATTTATCGCTTTTAGCAGCTAATCTACTGAAAATACAATTCTTAATATTTTAGATTCTAAACCAGATCAGAATAAAAAAGCGTATATCACACAAATTACGTATCATCCATCAATTATATCTAATATTATATTTAGCTAAGTAATTTTTATGCCTTTTTTTCAGCAAAAAATGCCAACAAAAATCAAAAATAATGTTTACTTTCAATATTTGACTGCTGTACAGAAATATCTGATCTTTATTCTATAAATGTTATTTATATGAATATATATGAAAGCAACAAAATTAAGCAAATATTTGCAGCTAAGGTTAAAGTTCATTTTGTCTTCTTGAGAGAGAAAAGTTATTGCTGACATTGTATTTGGCAAAACTGTTAAGGAAAAAAAAGTCATAAACGACATTCATTGTATAGTTTGGAATTTTGAATCATTGCATCAGGTTAGTTAACGCTTCATAGTTTGAGGATTAAACGAAGAATTTACGTACATCCAATATCAACTGTTGTGTTTGTGCAGAAATGAATGCGCATTTTTTGCTGAAGTTGTTAATTCTGAGCTTTGCTTATGTCTGTTATGCCGCTTACCGACATTATTTTCCACTTTATCCAGTCTACAAAGATGAAGTAAGTCAACGTCAAGGTCAAATTTTGAAGGTCAATTAGTTAAGGTTAGCATTTCTTTTTTTGCGATTAAATTAAATTGCTGATTATAAATATCGAATTTCATACAATTATAATTCAGAAACTTGTTGGATATGTGTTGAAAGTAGAAATTGGTGCTCCTGGTAAAAATTATACATTATTAGTAAATACACTATCACCAATATCATGGGTAGTTGGATCAAAATGCTCGTAAGTTCAGAAACTCAATATTAAATTAATTTCATACCAGTAAAGCATATTTAAATAATTTAGATTCTAATCATAATTTTTTTATACGAATTTAAATTCATAATTCTTATTGGAATGTTAATTAAGTTTACAGAATCAATTATATTTGCAGACATCCATTTTGCAACAATAAAACAATTTATAAAAAAACACCCAATGGTAAAAGAGTTGGCAAGAGAAAATATGATTTTGGCTCAGTGAAAATTGTAACTGAAAACTGGCAGGATAAATTTTCGGTTATTATTTGCATTTTATTAATTTCAGTAATTAAAAACTATATATAATAATTAACTTATGTTACTCAGAGTAATTAACTGATAAAAACATGAAATGATTGCAATGCACAGCACTTTTTGAATTATTAAAATTTTATAAATAAATGCTCTCCATGAAAAAAGTGTGCTTCATATTATTCTATAACTGTACTTGATACTTTTTTGCTCTAAATGTAAGTGAACGGTTTGAGGTGAAAGAAAATAATGGCGACGTGATACAGATTCCTCAGTTGGAATTTGGTGCGCTTTCTGAATTTTCTTGGATGAATTGGGAAAATTACGAAGTTGATGGAATTTTTGGTTTAGCTAATTTACATAAAGAGGAAGTAAAAAATCCACTTACTGAATCATTGTCAGCGATTAGTGTACTACCAACAGTAGGGATCATGGCACCACCACCAGTAATGTTTTACTCATTGTTTTCCTTCATTATATTCAAGTAAAACAACTTCAAGCAATTTTTTCTAACAAATTGAATTATGCAGTGAATTAATTCAATTATTTGAAATGTAAAATTATGAGAAAATATTAATCTTCAAGTTATGCAAAAAATTGAGATCATAAGTAAATAAAATGTCAATGACTATCTTTTGCATATCTATCTACTGCATATAATCCATTTCTTGTTTGATTATATATACATATAACTTAATTACATATAAATCACGTGCAGCAGGTCAGAAGTTGATCTTCTCTGCTGCCTTCTCGATTGTTGTGTTCCTATTTATATATGAATATACAGGGATCAAAAAGACCTCCAGCCCTTACAATTGGAGGAATTAATAGATATTATTGCGATCTTAATCTTACATTAGAAATGACTGAAGACGCAACAAATTTTCAATTTGCGTTTAGAACTATTAACTTCGCTGGTTCTATCCTGGGCGCAAGCGGGAATGTTATATTAGATACATCTAGTCCTTATATTTCTCTATCACGCAGCTTCTTCCACAGTGTCGTTGAAAACCACTATTTAGCAGTTAGCTAGCATTTAATTAACTTTTATTACCTTCTCACTAAACTTAATAATTTGCATTTTAATATTTTTGCTCACAATTATTTGAAATCTGTGATTCCATACTTCAGATGGATCAGTTTCCGTATATAGCTTCTACTAGCCTCATGCATTCACTATATTTGTATACAAAGAACCTACAGATTACAAATGAATATTACATTGACTCCAAATTTCTTTATCGCAAGCATAATGTTAGTTTGCAATTTCCAGAATATTCATTGGTGATTGCTATTTATCATCAAATTTAATCTTTTTTCTTTGGAAGCATTACATAAAGTAAATAGCGAAGGAATATTGTAAATGCAGTCACTTTATGCATATATGAGATTACTAATTAAATGTAGTAAACGAGGAAAAGATTTAGGTATATCATTTTAAGTAAAATAATTTTTTTAGAAAAACAACCAAAACTAATATACATGTATTACGATTTACTCCCGCTGACAAACATATTTTTCAACTGTAATGGACGAAATTTTCAGGATACACACCATGAAATGCTTATTCGACATTTCAATAACGACAACAAAGAAATTATTCTGGGGTTGCCTTTTTTTCACAGCTACTGTGTCCATCTGTCATATACGGGATACTTGAAAATTAATCCTCACAAAATATGCTGAAAAATAAGTAAAAGGTATATTCAGAATATCACTAAGTTCAATAAATTTATTGTTACGTTTTCCTTTATGTTCATATCTTTGGAATGAATGAAAAATAACATTTCTAAGTTTTATTTTCGTCTGCAAATCACTTTTTGTTCACTGCAAATAAGATAGAATTACTAAAACTAACTTTTAATAAAATTAGTCTGAAATTTGATGCATTCAAAAGTTATTTGCTAACAAATTAAAAAAAATTAGCATAAAACTTAGCTTTGTGTCCTATTACTATCTAACTAATTCTACAATAGAGCTTGTTATAGTAGTAAAATTAGATTAAAAATGACGATATTAGCAGCAGAATATTGCATCTGTCCTGTGAAAAATTCAATGGTAGATAAAAAGGATGCTAACTTTGAGAAAATTCCTGATCTGAAAACAAGGAGAGGAATCGGTGATGAAAAACTAGCTCAGCACTCTTAATATAATGATTTCTTAAACAGGTTGAAAACTTATGTTCATTCCATCTATACAATTAGTACTAATATTCAAAAAAAAAAGTAATTTTCTTCAAATTTATTTTACATGCAATCTAAAATTTTGTTTCGATTGAAATTGTGTAACATTAGAAGTCTCAAATCATGAACGCTCAGCAATTACTAAAGCCCAGCTCAAAATACCCATGTTTTAAATATAAAATTTGAAAAAAACTCCTTTCAACCATATCACTTAAAATTTATTAAAAAACCACTAGATCTGATCATGAATTATTCGCAATGGAAGCGAAGAGTTGAACAAAATACATGGTAATTGCGAGAACTCAAGATGCCAAAAAATTTTAATGTTGAAACGTTGTAATTGCTTCATCCCAAGGACCATGTTTAGTGCTGAAAATATTTCTTCTATCAAAATAAATCTTACATTCTTCCAACTTCTCGAATTTCTGAGAAGAAAATATCAACATTTTACAATATAATTGGTTTTTTGAGAAAAATTTTGAAAAGTTTTCAGAAAAAATAATCATCTTAAAACATCAAACTACTTTTTTTCTATACAAAGAATACATTTCCAAGACGCAACTGTGCGTTAATGAACTTCTGAAGTAAAATACATACCTTTTCCAGGGTTGCATTATCATTAAC